TGGGACTGTAACCAGAGTTCCTACTACTACCCTCCTCATTTTGGTAGGAACTGCATGTATGTAGGTCTGCCTTTCTGAACCTGGTGCCTTTCAGAATATCCAAGCAAGCAATGGGCTCTGTGGTTCAGAGTAGGCCAAGGCCTAGTTAGAGAACAAACCAGTTCCTTCTCGTTAACACATGTAACACATGATTAGTGAATGGATTCAGACTTGGAGCTGTGTAGTTGTAGTCTTACAGGTGCATGATCAACTTTTGCCAAAGTAAGGTTTACAGAAGTTAAATCAGTAACAGCCAGTGCTTTTTTTCTGGGGGGACGCATACCCCTAAACACTTTGTGAATCTAAGTTTGGCCCCATTGAGGGGCAGTATTTCAATAGGAGTAGGAAAAGGAGAGTACCCCTAAACATTTTTTAGAGGGGAAAAGCTCTGGTAACAGCAGAGAGCTGGTTTATCACACTTTCTATGAGACTACCACCTTCCAAAAGCCCAGCAAAATTCAGGCTTGTTGTTTTTAAAAAACATTTCTCTGTTATTTAGATACACACTGCAGGCATATTGTTTTATAACTTCCCATTTTATTTTATTTTTTGTGACTTTGCACTTTGCTGCCATGACTGGAATGGCTGTATGTTTTGCATGCAAAGAAATCTATTAAGAAAGCACAGTGTTTATTTTCTGCATCTGGTTTAAGGCGGACCTCCTGTATTCTCTCTGCAGTGAGAGCTCCAGAAACTTGAGTTGAGATACATTAGTTTATGCATGTGTCCACTTATCTCCCTAGCAAACATCAATGAAGCAGTAGCTGTTGTCCCACCTTTCTCTTCAGCCAGATTATGGTGTTACCAGCAAACTAAGTTGCAGCAACATCCTGCATTTCGTACAGCTACCTTTTCCTATTCCAATTCTTTGGCTTAGAGATACATAGGAAGGACCTCTTTGCCATAGTGTTGGATTGGAATTGCAGAGTGCTGCAAAGACCTGACTGACATAAATACTTGCAGAGCTTCTCTTTGAGTTCAAATAGAAGTATTAAATGTGTGTGGAACAGGAAGAGTGTGTGGCTTTGAGGTTTCGGGGTTGTTGTTGTTTTTAAAAAAATTAAAATCCCTGACTTGGAGGATCGGGCTCTAGCAGAGTGTTTGGGGTAAAAGTGAGGAGGTAACCTGAAGATTACTTGGAGGTAAAGGGGAGGTAGGAACCTCGAAGGTTTTGAATCTCTCTTCTGTGTGTTTGTTCTACTATTAAAGGCCCACAGATATTGCAGGCATACAGTATCTTTGAGACTGAGCTGAGAGTGAAATTTTTCTTACTTTGTTTTATAAGCAATGTCACTTTCCAGTTTTAAAAAATGACAACATAACATTGCTGGGAGTTTCTGTACACACCATATGTTTAAAGCACAACTTCACTCCCACCCCCAAAAACAGCTCATGAGAATTGTAGTTTCTTAAGGTTATTGGGAATTACAGCTCTGAAGTGAACTACAGGTCCCAGGATTCTGGGTGGGGTGTGTGTGTACATATATGGGATGCACAGAATCAAAGTTTTGTCAAAGTGGAGCATCCAAGGCCCCAGAGACGTGGTGCTGTGTGAAATGTGGTAGTTTATGGGATGTTTCAGCTTCCCAGAGTCTCTTTGCACTTACGGGACAGGCCACCATAAAGATATGGCCGGCAGGACCAATGACCAGATCCTTACTGGGTGAGTTTGTATCACATGTGTCTGCCACCACCATCGTGCCTAGTTTGGTGATTTAACTAATCTAGAACTTGCCTTGCTTGTGCCTTAAGCAAACCATTATTTCCATGAAATAGACCGTGATCTTCTGCTTCATGAGTGTATTGCATCATTTACGGATTGTTAACGTCCATTATGAAGCAGGTTACTGTTTAACTATAGTTTATTTAATGCATAATGAATTCTCTATCAAACTGCTCTAGTATCTAATGTCTATACCTGGCAATTTTGCCTTCAGGCAGTAAGGACTCCCAAGAGGAAACCCTATCTTTTAGTTGCCTGTTGCTCCAGAACGTATTTACATCAACATACAGTATAAGTAGGGATAACTGGTGTGAGTGGGGGGTTGTTGAGTTGCAGCTGCCTGTGGCTGACTGCCAACTAGAGCTGTCAGGTATGTGGTGGACTTTGCCCTCTATCACCCCCTTCCATTATACCTAATCTCTACCCACTCAAACAAATATTTGCATATTATTTTTAAGCATATACAGCTATGGATATCCTAAGCTTTGAAAATAAAGGGAGACAACTAAACCCAAGAGCTCTGATTTAGCTAAATTATGGCTCTAATCATTTTACTGGCAATTCCTGCTACAATAGTTCCACACACTTAAATCCCCAACACATAATTTCCTCAGCCCAAATGTTTGCAGATTAATGCATGGCCTAAAATACCCCTTACCTCTCTCTATCTTTCTGGTCCTTCAAGACCCATTTTTCCCTGGGATTTTAGTTGCTGCATAAGCTTTTGTTTTTGCTACCAATACACACTTAATTCTTTAGCTGCTTAAAAACCTAATAAATCTTCATGTACTAAACAGCTTTTCTCTCTGTCTCCTTCCATCTCTTTGATCTAGCCATCCAGGAGTAATCCATGGGTAATTATAACTTCTGAGCTTCTTTTAGCCTAAAAAGAGCCAATTTATCACAAACTGTCATGAATCCTGATTTAAAATTATCAAGAGCCCAATTACCAATAGAAATAAGGGATACTTCTTTCCAATTAAAGTGATTGATTTCACATAAAAACCAAGTAACATTTCACTTTTTAATTATGCATTCTTATCAAATGTGAAGAGGTTCTCCCACATTTTATTTTACATTCCAAGAGTGTACTATAACGAACATTAATCATATGCTGATATAATGCCAAGCCTAATAATTTGACACCTTAATTTGACAGAAACTAATCTATCAAAATATCCTATCAATTTTAATGGTTAATCCTAGTTACTTCTAGCATCTAGTAATTTGGAGAAGCAAAATAAGAAAACTGATTTGCTATATTCACAGCACAATGCAATGCATAGCTACTCAGAAGCCAGATCCACTGTGTTCAGTGGAGCTGACTCCATAATAACTGGTTAGAATCACAGCCTGATTTACCTATCATATTAAATCCATCCTACAGAGTCATGCTGTTTTGTCTCTCTAGACAGCTTTATTTTTAAGACACTTCAATTTCATATACTTTTATGAAAAAAAATATGAAAACCCAGTTTCAGATAAACTGATACCATCTTTAATACTACCCGTGATGAAATGAAAATATCAAATTACGTATCTTAAATCCCAGCAGACCAGAGAACTTCAACTCCATGCCAAAGCTGTTGCCATCCATTCCTGCACTGTTTTACAAGGGCATTGTGGGAAACAAATCACTTTTCAAATCACTGACTTGATGGTAATTCTTTGGTGGGCAGAAGGCCTGCCTGGGTATTATGTTCTTTCACCCATACTTCTTTTCACATGGAGAAAAGTTTTATTTGGGCTGTCTTCTTATTGTCATTGTTGAATCCTGGGATGAGCATTGAGGGAAAGGGGGGGTCATGTTTAGTTATATTTTATGTAGGCTTCCAACTTACTACCCCTGGGATGGTGCAGGTGAGAAGCTGCTGTTGGTCTAAACCACAGAGCCTAGGGCTTGCCAATCAGAAGGTCGGCAGTTCGAACCCCCACGACGGGGTGAGCTCCCGTTGCTCAGTCCCAGCTCCTGCCAACCTAGCAGCTCGAAAGCACATCAAAGGGCAAGTAAATAGGTACCGCTCCAGTGGGAAGGTAAACGGCATTTCCGTGGCGCTGCTCTGGTTTTGGTGTTCTGTTGCACCAGAAGCGGTTTAGTCGTGCTGGCCACATGACTCGGAAAAACTGTCTGCGGACAAACGCCGGCTCCCTTGGCCTGTAAAGCGAGATGAGCGCCACAACCCCCAAGTCGTCTGTGACTGAACTTAACTGTCAGAGGTCCTTTACCTTTGCACTGACCAACACAGCATTCTCTTAAACTTCCATATAATGACCTAGTTTTCATGTCAGAACCACTGACTCCCAGAGAGGTGTTCACACCTGCTTTGCTCTTCCATTAGCCTTTTAGATCAATGTTGAATGGCAGCTAAGCCAAGGTTTGGCTTCTTGCCCAAACCTAGGATGATGATTAAGGCTTCTCCTCCTCAACCACAACATGTAACCATAGGACAAATCTTGGCAACAGCGTAAGGAGGAGACACCTTAAATACATTCCTTAGTTCAGACACACCAAGCCAAAGCTTGGTTTAGCTGCAATGCTGCATCTACTTAAAAGCCCAAGGAGAAGCAAGGAGGCTCATTGGGATCAGCATGTTCATGCACTTGTGCAAAGCCATGGCTTGTTTAGCATGACATGCCAATGCAGCCACTGGCGAAAGCAAAAGAACTGGGATCTTGTAATAAAAGTGAATATATACATACAGAATTCTCACAACCTGTCTGTTCAGCTCACTTTAATCACAGGCCATCCATCCACTGGTGGTCATCAATACTAGTATTTAAAAGGGCAGCTGGATATTGCAGGAGAAAAAGTAGTATGGACCTTCAGACTAGATTGAATAACTACGTATAGGACTGTTTAATTGTTTGTATATGAAAGCAGATTACATATTGGGACTGTGGAGCTTAATTGAGAATATAATGCTAATGGGGTAACCAACCTGGTGCCCTCCAGCTTCCATTGTTCCTAACCAATGCTCATGTTGGGTGATGGGAGCTGGAGTCCAGCAACATCTGATGGGAACCACTTTGGCTAAGCCTGAACCAAGCAATATCCAGACTATGTGCAAATATGAGAGTTTACTAGTCCACCGCTGAACTGAGGTAGCAGATTCACATAAAATGCTTTTGAACAGATTTAAAACTTCAGGAGGTAGGTTTTAAAAAAAGTGTCTCAAAAATAGTTTCGCATCCCATTTTGAGTTTTCAAAGTTAAAACAAACAACATCAAATTCACCAGTGATACTTTAAAAGACTTTTATTATTTTTCAATCTAGTATACACAAAGAAAAACTTGGTTATTTTAAACAAAGCAGGGAGGACACTTTCTTCTATTTTGACCCACATACTTTTAAAGTAAAAACTCCAGGAAAAGGGTTGTTCTTAATATTATGATGATGATTTTATTAAAGTGCACATGAAATTGTACAAGAAATTGATAACTGTCTCCGTGGCTAAGAAATCCAATCTTGAGAAACGAACTGATCAGGTGGCCAAATTCTATCAACAATGTTATTTCATTAAAAACAAACAGCTAAAGGAACTTTTTTTAAAAAAATGCCACGATCTAATGAATGTAGTCTTTGAGAAATAAACAGTTTTGGTTAAAATTTATTTTTAAGGGAAACATTATTGGGCAGATGGGTAAGTTATACCAGAGTGTGAACAGAAAATAGAATGCAAGGGGACAATAAACTAAACCTTCCTTTTACAAGTTAAGAGTGTTGGCCATTTCATACACAACAGTTGTGTCCTACATGGACACAATCTCTGTACAGGTAATTAAAAAAACACACAACAGAATTATGTATGATGAGCAAGGGGGTGAGGTCATGGCTCAGTGGAAGAGCATGTGCTTGGCTTGCAGAAGGTCCCAGGTTCAAACCCCAGCATGTCCCTGTAGGGCTGAGACTGCCTGAGACTCCAGAGACCTGTTGCCAGAAAGTGCAGACAATGCTGAGCTGGAGGGAGCAATGGTCTGGCTCAGGAAAGGAAGCTTCCTAGGTTCCTGAACAGGCAAGGCCTCCTTCTGCTGCGAGTGCATCTTTCAAGAAGGCACAAAGGGTGTGACATGGCCCCTGAACAAAAACGTTCATTGGGGGGAATTGTGTGGGATCTTGTGAACATGAAGGCAATACAGTGGTGCCCCGCAAGACGAATGCCTCGCAAGACGGAAAACCCGCTAGACGAAAGGGTTTTCCGTTTTTGAGTTGCTTCGCAGGACGAATTTCCCTATGGGCTTGCTTCGCAAGACGAAAATGTCTTGCGAGTCTTGAGATTTTTTTTTCGCTTTTCCCCCCCTTTATCTAATCCGCTAAGCCTTTAATAGCCTTTAATAGCCTTTTAGCAGCTAATCCGCTAAGCCTTTAAGCCTTTAATAGCCGCTAAACCGCTAATAGCGCTAATCCGTTAAGCCGCTAATAGGGTTGCTTCGCAAGACGAAAAAACCGCTAGACGAAGACTCTCGCGGAACGGATTAATTTCGTCTTGCGAGGCACCACTGTATTGGTTTCAAAACAGGCAGGAGGGCATAGGGAAAGAAAGTGATTTTGGTTTCTGTGCTGTAAAATGGAAGGGTGCCAAATGTAAATGTCTTTAAGTCAGAAGTAGTTCAGTATTTTAAAAGCAGAGGATGGAACTGCATGACAGTATAGTTAAGTGTGCGTTTAACAATTCCAAAGTCGGCAGAACTTAACAGGCTTCCTGCTTCAAAAACTAAGGCCTGATGTTAACAAAGGATGACTGCGAGTAATTCCCTTAGGCACTAGTGAGGCGTACTTGGAATTATTAAACATATAAAATCTGTTCCCATTGAATGTTATCTAAATACAGTGGTACCTCATGTTGTGTAACCTCCAGGTTACGGAATCTTTGGGTTACGGCCGCGGCAAATGCAGAAACGCTCAGTGGCGCCGCACGTGTGCGTAGAAGGGGTCCTCCGGTTACGAAATTTTTGGGATACGGCCAGGCCTCCGGAACTGATCCCATTCGTAACCAGAGGTACCACTGTATTTAACTTTGCTTACCATACTAAGCACATAGCACTCTTAAGGAGGAGACTAACCTCAGGAAAATGTAACAAACAGGCACCAGGGGAAATATTTTACGTAAGATGGGATTGTTTGTCAGATCCCTTACACTGAGAGCAACAATTTCAGGGAGTTGCCATGTATGCAGTACTAATCTCCACAACCCCTCTAACCCACCACCCCTCTATTGTTGTCCCTGCCAAGGTCGCTCAACCATTGCTACTGTGTCATTTCTTTTAGCAGATCAAGATGATAAGGTGGCAGCAAGAACTGCAAGGTTTTTAGCAGGGGCAATTAGAATAAAATCTATTATTTGATTGTAACCCCCCAAAATGTATTTTCTATGTTTTTACCTCTATCCTCAGTACATTTTATTTCAGGCTGCTGAATTATCTCCCTACCTACCCACTTTAAAAAACCAAATGAACTGCATACCTCTAGGGACTGTGATAAAACACTGGGGTCAATTCTCAAAGTGCAGGGATAAGCAAGCCTGGATCTTCTACAGCCAAAACCGCTTTGAATATTGGGCAGATGCAAGAGACACTGGGATTTTTATTGGTTTCCAAAATTTGACTGTGGTATTGAAAGTTTTAGTATATAGAATATTTCCACCAGCTTCCAATTCATTACACTTTTATTTCCAAGAGGGGCAACACTAATTAATTCGAGTTCATGACCGATGCCTCTCCATGAAGCTCTTCATGAATGTTGCTAACTTCTGAACGTCTTCTCTTGTCACAGCATTATACAAAGAAGCACGGATTCCTCCCACAGATCTGAAAGAATAAGGGGAAATGCAGGGAAACGGTACATTTGGAGCGTCCCCCAGTTTCACCAGTGCACTATATTCTTTTCGTAGTCCAGAACATTCATTTATATCAAGGGGAAAGTAACCTCTTTCAGCCCAAAGGCTGCATTCCTTTCTGGGCAAGCCTTTTTGGGAAAAGACGCCAGTGGTGAGCAAGGCCAGAGGCAAAAGTGGGCGGAGCCTCCAGTGTACCTTCTACCTCTGAACAGCAGGCTGGTTTCTACACACACCCCACTCTGTCCTCCACTACGCAAGCAAGAGGTCTTATCAGAGTACAAGGGAACATTCTGGCAAGGCAAAAGCACTCAATGAAGTTGTGAATCAGGGACGAACATGACCTGGAAAGGCGGTGTGGCAGCTAAAGACCAAATGTGGAGTGGTAATTCCTGAGGGGCAGATAGAGAGACCTGGATGCTGGGGTGAATGACTGAGAGCCATTCATTTCCAGAAACAGAAAGAAGATTCAAAAAGCAGTTTTCACAGATTGTTTAGTCTAAGGTAAAGGTAAAGTGACCCCTGATCATTAGGTCCAGTCGTGACCAACTCTGGGGTTGCGGCGCTCATCTCGCTTTACTGGCCAAGGGAGCCGGCATTTGTCCACAGACAGCTTCCAGGTCATGTGGCCAGCATGACCAAGCTGCTTCTGGCGAACCAGAGCAGCGAAAGGAAACGCCATTTACCTTCCCACCGGAGCAGTACCTATTTATCTACTTGCACTTTGATGAGCTTTCGAACTGCTAGGTTGGCAGGAGCAGGGACCGAGCAACGGGAGCTCACCCCATTGCAGGGATTCAAACCGCCGACCTTCTGATTGGCAAGTCCTAGGCTCTGTGGTTTAACCCACAGCGCCACCCGCATCCCTAATTGTTTAGCCTACCAAAGCAGATACTGACTGTGATAACTTATTTCTGGACATGTGCAGTTCCTACAGGAGACCCAGAGAGCTGGTTTTAACCAGTCTTGCTTTTTCTTCTCTTACCGGCAACATGCAAAGCACAGAGACTCTTGTTTGGACTTACTTCACTTATTTTTTTTTATTGCTTCCATGAGTATTTTATTGCCTCTTATGTGCAACCAACCCTCAATGTGCTTCCAGGGAAGGAGCTGCGTTGTTTTCTCTGCTGGTTTAAAGGCTGGCACATGCGGAAGTGAGGGGACGCAGGTGGCACTGTGGTCGCTTTTCAGGCCGAGGGAGCCTCTTGGGCTCTGTCCCACCTTTTGCCAACCTAGCAGTTTGAAAGCATACCAGTGCAAGTAGATAAATTGGTACTGCTGCGGCGGGAAAGTAAATGGCATTTCTGTGCACTCTGGCACTCTGCGTGCCAGTAGTGGTTTAGTCCTGCTGGCCACATGACCTGGAAAGCTGTCTGTGGACAAACGCTGGCTCCCTCGGCCTGAAAAGCGAGATGAGCACCGCACCCCATAGTCACCTTTGATTGGACTTAAGCATCCAGGGGTCCTTTACCTTTTACAAGTGGAAGTGTTGCTAGACCACTGGATTTATAAGCCAGAGATCATAAAACCTTTAATACTTGAGGGCCACATTTGGTCTCCAGGCCTAGAGGTTGCCCACCCTCAATTTATACCAACCTGGTGCTTCCAGATGCTGCTGGACCATAATTCCCACCATTTTTGTCCACTGGCCACATTGGCAGCTGGCTGATGGGAGCTGGAGTCCAATAACATGTGGATGGGGAAGGCTGGTGTGTGCTAACAAGAGGCATGCACATCTTGTTGAGAATAATGGATCGTTTCTAAAGACAGCAATGCTTTAGCTAGCAATGCTTTAGATGCATACAAACTGAAAAGAAGTCTCTTCGTTCTGTTCTTCCAAGAGTGCATGAACAGAAGAACTGTGAGTTTGAGATTGTGTGAGGGGAGCAATAATTAGACCAGAGTGACAGATTTATTTTGAAGCATCACCTTGCAAGCATCACCACACCAGATGCCAAGAGGAAAGTGGGAGGAAGGAAGACCAGCACCAGTACAAAACAGGGGTGGGGAGATACAACTCCAACAGTGAACTAAAAGGAATGATCAAGATACTGTATTTTCTCAGGACTGTGAAAGAATAGAACTTCATTTATGTAATAATTAGGGCTGAGCTGGAAGGAAGCTAAATTTTCAGAAACATTTATATCAGCATTTGAGCTTTTCTGCAAAACAAAATGGAAGGGTCTACGAAATGTAATAGCTTGCTGGATCAGGCCCATGGCCCATCAAGTCCAGCATACACAATGGTCAACCAGATGCTTGAGGGAAACCAGGAAGCAGAACATGAGCATGATAGCCAAATCCAGGTGACCACATAGCACAGTATTACGTGATTCCTGGCTGGTAGGCATCACTCAAAGGCCAAGAAGCCAAGGGCCCTAACTCAGAGGTAAAGCATATGTTTTGCAGGCAGCAGGTTGCAGGTTCAATTCCCTGTGTCTCCAGATGGGGCTGGGGAAGTCTTCCATCTGAAACCCTGGACTAGATTGGTAGATGACCAATGGCCAAAATATGGTGCTTAAGTAGTAGCAGATTGGGGAAATGGTGACAGTACTTATCACCTTAGTCAAATATTTACTATAAATATCATACACAAATAAGGCATTTCTGCCCATGGACTCTTAATTCATTGACAATTTGGGCATCCAGACTCTAAACTGAAACTTAAATAAAAATTGGTTTGGTTATCACACGGCTTTTCAGTTTTTAAAAACTGAAAAAATATCTATAAAATTGTGCAGTCACACATATAAGGGATTTTTCAGACAACACTGAAGCACAGCTAAGCTTCAGCACTAATACAACCTGTATTTTTTTCTCACAGTTCTGAGAAATGACAATGCCTCTCATTTTTGTGTGTTCAATTCCTACTGCTCCTTCCGTCACATTGTAACTCAACCTCAGTCAAAGCTTCTCCACAGACTTCTCTCTTACCTATGCCCTTTCAGGGATAGCATGTTGTTTTCTATAGCTTGATCAAGGAATTTCTTTTCCAGGGCCTCATCGCCCTTAATGCTGCCAATCCGGAAAGGAACATTCATTCTGCTCCTGCTCTTCTTCTCCACAGGACACCTGAAAATTTCACATAAATATGATTACAGCCATATTTTGGCTTGTTATCAAATGAGTACATATTAATGAACTAAATTGTAGGTGGTATTCCACTAAGTTTTACTCAGAACAGACCTATTGAAATTAATGGGCCTAACATAGCCGTGTTCATTCATTTTTGGACGTCTACTCGGAGTAAAACTTAATTGACTACCATCCTATGTTTCTAAGTGACATAATCTTTTGTCAGCCACAGAAATCAGTTCTGCTTGCAAACTCTAAAGGGCTACCTGAAATATAATTACACGGAAATTACATGGGGAAGTGTCAGATGACCTCATCGCTTTATGCTGAAAGAATGCATGGAGGCGTCTGCAAAGGCTAGCCACGCCCCATCGTGGGCAACAGCCATGCCCCTCCTCCTGGACACTTGGCAGGTGTTCATTTGGCATGTGAGAAGACTATGTGTCCCCATGTGTGAAGATCTTCAACACACCTGCCAAAGATGCTTGAATCATGTGTGAGTATGTTTGTGTCTGAACAACTTTTAAATAAGCACCAAGGGGAAATAATACATGGAGCTGGCAGGTTGCCTTTCAAAATTAAACTGCTTTGCTGTTTTCTACAAACAAGTGGTATATAAAATTTTATGAAATAAACATTTTTTTAAGCACAAGAAATGTACTTTTCCACTACAGGCTCCTCTAGCTGGGGAAAGCCAATGAAGCTTTTGTTTTTCCCAGATGTACAAAAAGGCAGCAGCACCGCACAGGGGAGAGAGTGGCAAGAGGCAAGGCTGAAGGACTCTTTTGCTTGACTGGAAGGAGAACGTGCTGCAAATCATTTTATATTACACTTGTCTTCCACCTAATTCTCATCAAATCCAGAAGAAATTCAACAAGAGATTTGCAGCTACAATTACCAAGAAGCCACATGCAACCCTGCAGTTGGCTCAACTGATTCAGCACAATCTCAACCACAAGAACTCTGAAGCCCATGTGATATTGTTATTATTATTATTTAGTTTATATATCACTGAATGCCCAAATAGGCTTCTAAGCCATCTACATGCATAAAAACCAATTGCCACAATTTGATAACAAAGCACTGCTATCCATTCACACTTGAAAAGGAGAATGGGTATTAAATAATTTAGGCCACTTCTGGTTGGGGTTGAAAGGAGTCAATAAGCAGGCACTGTACATTTAAAAAACAATTTCACTGTTTCACACCAGCATACAGCAGAGACACGCAATGCAAACAGACTGTAGCAAGTTTGCATGATGAAATCAGATTCTTGGCGCACTGAAAAGCTGTTCACATTTTGCTCTGTCCAGTAAGGCACTTCGTTGCTTAGGTGGCATTTCACAGGTAAACAGCCTCCAGTCAAAAAGCATGGCACAAAATACAGCAGTACATACATACTGATAAGATGCATACAGCTCAATTGCATCATCATAATGGCCACAATTTTTGTTGTGAATTCCTAAACAGCTCGCCGGCTAAAGCCAAAATTGTATTAGCTGCCATGGGGGAAAATAAGTTTCTCCTGGCTATAATCTCACTTAAATGGAACTAACAAGCTAGAAGTTATGAAATGGGTAGGATGAAGGTAAACACATTACAGATAAAATAAAAAAAAATCCTTCCAGTAGCACCTTGGAGACCAACTAAGTTTGTTATTGGTATGAGCTTTTGTGTGTGCATGCACACTTCTTCAGATGCACACGAAAACTCATACCAATAACAAAGTTAGCTGGTCTCCAAGGTGCTACTGGAAGGAATTTTTTTTATTTTGTTTCAACAGCACGGCTACTTACCTATAACTAGAACATTACAGATAACGTACCATCAAAGCATGTGATTTCTAGCCTGGCATAGTCCTCTCGCAATATGCACACACACACCCAGAAGCTGCCGCTCCTGGGAGAAAGCAAGGCTACAAGATTTTTCACTGAAACGCTAGTTTTCCGCATGTGCTTGTGTGGAAGATTTGCTAAAGTCCTATATAGACGAAGTCCTCTGAGATAGTAATGTACAGTAACAATGGTAAAAGTCAGGACAACTTACACGTAAAATCCACTGGATCCATCAATAATATCATAAATCATCTGTGACTTCATTTGGCTAAGCTTATCCATAGCTGCAGCTCCGCCATTGTTTCTTACCCAATCCAGGACCAAGCCTGTGATATAGATACTGGAATCAAAAAGAGAAGAGGCACCAATTATTTGCAATGCTATGTTCATGTCTCAATAACAAAAACAGCAAGGGTTGCTTACATGGTATAGAAGAGAAGTAAAACCAATAAGAGAGTGTGTTGGGGGACAGGGAAGAGACAGAGTCATCTGTCCCCAATGCATAATCTCACAAATGCACCCAGTACCTAATCTAAATTGGTATGCCCCATGAAGACCAGGCGTGTGTCATGCCAAGGTGTCAGCAGGCATCCGGTTTCAAATGGCGCAAGCAAGCAAGCCAAATCACATGCAAAAAGGCAAAGCATCATTTTACGGCAAGTGAAACCTGTCAGCCAAAGCAAGAGAACTTCCTATATAATACTTTGTATTCTAGTTAGAATCTAGCTGCTGGTTAACAGTGCTCTGGAAACACAATACCGTAGAGACAATTGGAGGTTGCAGATATAATGCTAGGGCAAAATTGAAAATTCCCATTGTTTCTTCATCTGTATAGGCCCTGTCATGACTGCTGAAATTATGGTCTAACCAACAAGAGATCCAGTTGTGAAATACTGGTCAAATTAAAGGATCTTGGCTCAAGTGGCAGAGAAGCCATTCAAACTTGCGAAAGATATTGCTGGCATTGGCCTCCTGTTGATATGACAGCATTAACATTTTCATCAAACCTATTTCCTATTTAAAATAACTTAAACCTTTACACCTTGAGCTGTTCTTTTTTGCAACAGCCAGTAAGAACAATACTGTCCTGCTGCTTTCATGTAACCATTGACAAACTTTTCCAAAGACAGCTACTGAATGAAAATCAGAATGCAAAGCATTGTCCGTGATTTTAGCTACAAAGAGAGAATTCTGCTTGATCACAGGTATTTCCCATGGATGTCACTTTGCATACTAAACTGCTTGTAAAAAGCTAATAGCCATAATCCTAGACATACTTACTATAACTACTATAAATATTAAGCATTCAAATAGTGCTCAAGACTGTTAAAAGTACATTACAGTGTTGTTTGTAAGGATTGCCATTTTGAATGCAAGGAAGATGAATAGCATCATCTCCATATTACAGGTGGGGAGCTGAGGGATAAAATGTTGACCCAAGACTACCTTGTGAATTCAAGGCAGAGATTCCCAACTCAGATTCTCAGCTAACTAGGAAGTTGCTCCTACTGAACTAAGCTGAATTATTGCTAAATCAACAGTGTTTATTGTAAACAAATAGCCTGAGCCAACTGTATCTCTCAGTGCTCACCCAAGTCATCTGATCTTTTACTGTCCCATGTGCAGAAAAGCATCATTCACCCTACTCAGTTGGCACGCAGGAGTGTCCTTCTAAGCTGCCTGCCTTCTCCAGAGACCTTCTGGTTGGTCACTACTTTGGAAGCAGGATCGTGGGCCTTTTATTTGTAAAGCTGCATTATGCCAGTGCCTGGAATTGGTCCCAGAATCACACAAATCTGTATTGTCACTCAGATACATGCCCCATTTCCAGGACATTACACAAAAGCCATGAGCATTAAGGAAGCAGAGAACGCCCAGAAATCAGTGTTCCAATGTGGAGAGTGAATTGTGTTGAAGCTGGTATGGGGGCTTTAATCCACCTTCCAGACAAAAGGACAGACTTTGATGCCACAACACAAACCAGCACAAGTCTTTGGCAGGCAATAAGCCTAAAATATAAAACATTCCTGCTCCTTAGCTATTTTGTTCCATTTCCACATCACTCTTTCTCTCTATATTTGCACACCTGTTGCAAAAGTGTCCCACACTCAGAAAATTCCTGTATGAGCTAGTTTGGTACCGGTTCATTATATCCTGTACTGGATTTCACATAAGCCTTTATGATCCACAAAAAGACACTCACTAAATAAGTGGGGGCAGGGGGCGTAATAGACTGACCCACTTTAAAAGCCACATAGCAAGCTTCCATGCCACCCCCAAAGCAGGTTTAGTCATAGATTTGAATATCAAGGAAATCCTTGTAGCTAGGAAATGCGATTTCTCCCCGGGGGGGGGAAAGCACTGTTAATCTTCATGCAGCAGATTAATGTCAGGAAGCCAAGACTCCTTTTGGCAAGAGGTTAAAACGATCCGCATTGGAATAATTTAATTCAGTGCTTCACTACAGCAGCTCATGGACATTCAGGTCAGGTCCCCAGCCAACTAACGGCTGCACAGAGAAGAAAGAGAAACAGTCAGAATTACCGAAAAAAGGAAAGAGAGTTTGGTCAATCTCTTGCAAGACACATGGTGTTTTCAAGAAGCAAACATGAGGCAGCAACATCCAGCCAACTTGCAGGTTACAAATTTTACAGCACTGTAAATATGGAATGTTATAAAAAATGGGTAACTAGTTTACAAATATATAAGAAAAAATGAAGTTTAAAAGTTTGCAATTGTCTGCCCTGAGTTTTATGTCCCTACTACAGTATACAATTATTATGCAAGCTACTGATAATTTAGCAGTTATGGCTTCAAGGAGAATTCAGTTTTTCTTAATTGAAATAATTTTCCATGCATGTAAACCTTTCACTCCATACTCAGGATACTAGAATAATGTAATGGGGAGGGACTAAAACTAGGCACCAAATATGACCAATAGATGCAAAACTCACCACTGGTCAAATAGGGTACTTTATCAATAATGATGTGTTCTTCCCTTCCACCACACCCCATTTTGTCTTCGCAGAGAAGCTTTTCTTGGTTTTTCTATTTAGCCAGATAGAAACAACCAATCATGTTATGTGGCATAGCCATATTTCCAAATTTTAAAATCCTTGCAGTGTTTGTGTTGGGCTTGTCAGGGAGAAGGAAATGGTGCTTTTCTGATGGGGTTGTAAACCCCCCTGAAAATGTTTAGTTAAAGGGCAATATAAAATTATTTGAAATAAATAAAGTTAAAATACTCCATACATTCCAGAACACTGCCAACACTCACTATCGAATAAGTAACTTTTGGCATGTGTGAATAAAATCTTTATGAGACTTCTAGTGATGGAAAAGGGTTGGGGGGGCACCAGCCTATTGTACGTGGTAGACACATGCCGCACAACTAAATACTAAGAGATCTGTTTGAACTCCTGCATCTGATATGGTTTTTCTCCACCTTGCAAGGTAACATTCATAACATTTTTCCATCAGTACATCCTATGAAGTTGAAACAGACCTTTAGAAACGGGGATTTAAATGCCTGAAAAAAATGAAATGCCTGTTTTACACTCCTAACCCATTACAGAAAGAAGTTGTAGGAACTGCTTGCATAACTAAAATTTTCCATTCACATAATTCATGTGCTCACACAGTAGATCTGAAGAGTATTTGGTTCAGTAGTCACACATACACTCACTCACCTCTTGAGTAACTATTAACTCCTAATTACCCTACTAACAAAAGCACAACTTCACTGCTGTCAGCAATTCAGAAACACACAGAGTAACCCTTTAATCAGTTTTGCCTTGTTTGCATCCAGAACTGCTAATTAAATTCCATTTAGTAACCATGATGCCTAGATGACAATTAAAATGGAAAAGGCATGGTTGTTGGTTGGGATTTTGGTCTGGGGAAATAATCACCTGAGCCAGTTCAGCTTGAAACAGGTAAGTCAAGAGATGCACGTAGGCAGTGGAAAGGACTGAAACTATGGGCAGAGAATTTCTCCGCTCAATTCAGACCATGATCAGAAGCAGACCTGGCACTGCCATGACCATCTTTGCAGTTTTCGCACAGGGCCACAATGTGACACTACATCCAGGACACAACAATGAATTAGCCAGTACTGCTATGTAAGCCTATCTGCCAGCAGAATACGAAGTCCAAAGAAAGCATTATGTCAAGGGTATCTTCAAGTCTGTAGTCAGTCCTACTGAGGACCAATTCAGGAAAAGCAGGAACTCTGCTAAAATTTATACCACCCTGACATTTTATTTCACTGGGAAAATTTGGTTATGTCACTGAGACATAACCAACTAACATTTATTTTCTGGAATAGCTTTATTTTCTGGAATAGCTTGGGGCGGAACCTTATCCCCCTTATCCAGTGGGTTCGGACAGCCACCTGTCCAATAGTCTGACATCACAATGACATTAGATAACCTGTTTTTGCATAGCACTGTACACCAAATCAGCAGCAATCAGCTGATCACTGTGGTTTGCAAAACGCCATGCATGGCGCTATGCAATCATCAGCTGACTGTCAGAGTTTGCAAAGCACTGCGCACCATTTGCAGATGTCTGCAAACTTCCACTTGGCCCAGTCATGTCTTTATCTAGTATAGGGCAGGTGGGCACGGCTTTGCCAAAATGGCCTTGGGGGCCAAATGGAGAGGCCTGGTGGGCCTAATTTAGCCCGCAGACTGGACATTCCTAACCTCTGCTCTGCATAGTAAACTTCCGAGTAATTAGCAAAATGAAGGATATTGTACTGTGGCAAAATTACCTGAAGCACGGAGGAGTGTTGTATAGAGAGCTGTTCTCCACTTGCACTTTGTAGTCCAAGACTGTCGGGCACTCTTTGAGTGCAAAGCCAATCAAATCCTCACGTACTATAACCACTGTAACTCCAGCACAGCCTGCATTCTTCTGGGCACCAGCAAAGATTACACCAAACTTGACATCGGAAGTGGGGAGGAGAAAAGAAAGGGGAAATGGATATTAAATCCATGTACTCATTTGTACATTACAGTCATACCTCGGCTCCCAAACGCCTTGGGAGTCGAACATTTTGGCTCCCAAATGACTGAAACCTGGGAGTGACTGTTCCGGTTTTGGAAGCCGAACGTCTGATGGGGCTTCCGCAGTTTCCAATTAGCTGCAGGAAGCTGCTGCAGCCAATCGTAAGCTGCGCTTTGGAAGTCAAACATTTCAGAAGTTTAACGGACTTCCTGAACGGATTCTGTTTGACTTCCGAGGTATGACTGTATAAGCAGAACACATACTGGTGAATGTTCCTATACACACAAATAAAGGAAAAGATCACTGCTGTGAAACATTAGCGTGCTAAATCACTTAACAATGCATATACTGAAAGTGAAATACGCTCAGGAGGTCCTTCTCAGGTGATACCTTGCAATGAGATCCTAAATATGTTTTACTCAGTGCAGACCTACTGAAATTAATGGATCAAATTTAGTCATGCTCATTGAACAAGTGAGTGAAAGCATTACACGAATCAGCTTGAGCAAACCAAGTTTGAGATATTAGGTTACTCTGTGCAAAGGAACAAACTGCCCTTTTGGAACTTTACCTTAGACACATCCACCGGCCTGGAGAGGAAATTGGATGACATATCACACACTAAAACTGTCTTCCCAACATCAGGGACAAAGTCAAACTCCACTCCATGAACCGTCTCATTTGCACAATAGTAGACATAAGAGGCATCGGGGTTAAGGTTCCAAGTGCTTGGATCAGGAATTTCTGAAGCAGGTAAGACAAGAGAGAGACAAACAATGGAACTATTTCCCAGCCAGCAGATTCAGAAGTCCGATGAGATACAACTTTCCCTTAAATATTGAATTTTGAAAGCAACTCTGGTTCAACAAATTTCTATTGCTTTGCCAGCAAAGTTAATTCATTATTGGAATGGCTACAAAAGAGAAATGGGCATTTCAAAAAAACACCCACCACACTTTCTCATCATGGAAGTAGTAGAGTGTGTTAAACAAACAGGATACCAGGTCCTTTCAAGATGCTAAAAACAGACCACCATTCAAAATCATTTCAACATTCAAGCCAGAATGTAATCTTTTGTAGCATAATAAGGTTGTTAGGTGAGGCACCTGTGGCCCTTCGGACGCTGCTAGACTATGATTTCCATCATCCCTGACCATTGGTATGCTGGCTGAGGCTAATAGGAGTTGGGATCCAGCAAATCTAGTAAGCCATAAGTTGTCCACCCTGATCTACATGATGCATGCTAATCTTCATTGATGCCAATGTATTTTGTGAACTTAACAGGCTACTCACACACCCAAACACCAACACAGCATTTGCAAATGGCTGTGTAGAAGTTGCTGCTACAGACATTTTCCCCATGGTGACATGCATAAGCTACACATGTATCAAGAACTACATTTCCCATCAGCCCCAGACAGCACAACAAATGGTTCTGAATGGTAAGAATTGTAGTTCAACAACAGCTGGAAGGCCACAGGTTAACCAGTCGTGCTTTAGATTCAGGCTTCCCCAACCAGGCACTAGGGCTGGGCGATATCTGGTTTTCAACCTCCCTGCAGTGGTGGAGGGTGTGCCACACTTCCCCACAGCAGCAGAGGGCCTTGCCAGGCCTCCCCATGGTGGGAGAGGGTTCGCCGTACCTCTCCACAGTGGCAGAGGGTGCGATACACTCCCCCGCAGCAGAAGGTCCCATACTACCTCCCCATGGTGGCAGAGGGTGTGCCACACTTCACTGCAGCAGCAGAGGACCTTGACAAGGCTCCCTGTGGCGGTGGAGGGCCTTAATATTTAAGGAAGTAGTAAATCTAATAAAAATATTAAATAAACTTCCATATAATATATTTAACATATTTTCAACTAATTTAAGAGGTGTTTTTTTTAAAAAAAAAGGTAAAGGATCCCTGACAGTTAAGTCCAGTTGTGAATGACTCTGGGGTTGCGGCGCTCATCTCGCTTTACTGGCCAAGGGAGCCGACATTTGTCTGCAGGCAGTTTTTCCGGGTCATGTGGCCAGCATGACTAAGTAGCTTCTGGCAAAACCAGAGCAGCGCACACCGTTTACCTTCCCGCAGGAGTGGTACCTATTTATCTACAGTAGACACGCAGGTTGCAGACGCGATCCGTGCAGGAGGCACGTTTGTAACCCGCAGCATTCGAAACCCGCAGCGCCGTGTCTGCGCATGCGTGGGTTGCGATTAGGCACTTCTGCACATACGCGACCGCCGAAACCCAGAAGTAACCTGTTCTGGTACATCCGGGTTTCGGCGGGTCTGTAACCCAAAAAAACACAACCTGAAGCGTCTGTAACCCGGGGTATGACTATACTTGCACTTTGACATGCTTTGGAACTGCTAGGTTGGCAGGAGCTGGGACCAAGCAACGGGAGCTCACCCCGTTGTGGGGATTCGAACCACCAACCTTCCGTTCAGCAAGCCCTAGGCTCACCTGCATCCCTAATTTAAGAGTATTTTAAGTGATTTACTAGTCAAGTTGCATCTGCTTCCCCACTCAGAGGTCTAAGTGGAATATGTGCATGCAGAAGCCCCATTGAGTTCAACTAAGCTAACTTCTACTTTCCTGGGAGTAAGCCCCACTGAATTCAGTAGGGCTTGCTTGCAAGTAGACACGCATTTACTTGCACTGCTTACTGAAAAAAACCCTCCCCATCATTCTCACAAGCAAAATGAGCGCCACACCCCATAGTCGCCTTTGACTGGACATAACAGTCCAGGGGTCTCTTTCCTTTACCTAATGTTTGCACAGTCTCATAAGCTGTTCTGAAAGCGGGGACAGAACCCTAATTTATGCACTGCACAGCAGACACACAATATCATCATGCATTTGGTTGAATGGGTAGATCAAGATGTGTTTCATAGATACAGCAAGTTGCCCTATTCTTTTTCATCATGGGTACTTCCAGGCCAGCACTCTTGTCAAACTGCATTTCTGCTTTGATCCTCACTCTCACTCTACTGATTTTCCCATGCTCCTAAACTTTTGTTTTCTTTTTTCTCCCACGCACAATTTTACCCATACATGGTCCAATAACTTTGATGTAATGTGCCCACAGAAGGGGGGGGGAGGCCAAGATGGGAGTGTAATAGCCAGATTTAGCCTCTCCTAAAAGCAATGTGCAGAGGCGGTTAGTTTTGCATGAAGGTACCAACAGTGCAAATTTGGCAGTTTTTGAAAAGACCATTAAGAAAGATGGTCAAGGTCAAGGGCTAGGAAGCAGCAGCAAAAGCTTCTTATCCAGGCCAAATCATAAGAATAGCTGCATTTCGGTAATGAGATAACCAGTTTTCATACTTTGGGACCCATTTCTCTTTAGGATTGTAGTAAATATTACACTCACAGTTTGTTTTTATAAATAACAGAAACAGCAAGCAGGAAAGAAAATGCACATACAACAGTTTAGCTTCCACAAACGTTGAAGTTTGCAAGTTTACTTACTTGTATAACTAGAGAGTTTAGGATGAACAAGGTTTACTTTGGCATATTTCTCTGCTTCCTTGGCTGCTTTTGCTGACCAAGCTCCTGTAACCACATAATCAGCACACCTGGCTTCTTTTAGCCCAATAAGATTAAGTGGGACACCACTGAATTGTCCAGATCCACCTCCTTGGAGAAAAATCACTTTGTAGTTGTCTGGTATTTTTCTGTGCGAAGAAGTATCAGGAAAATGAAACAATACTATCAGTTCAGGATTCAAAATATTTGACAGTTGTTGTTCTCCAAATTAGACCCCCGGTGAAAATATCAGTTATAGATCAATGAAACTTTTTTGTTAAAATGATGTTTTACATTATTTGTAAACAGTTACTATCCAGTATTTCAACAGATACACAGTATTTCAGTATAACCCTCTGTCAGACTAATAAGCATTAGATATAACAGTCTACATATTTCAGCTTCCAAAGAAAATAAGAAAAATGCTTCTAAGTTGTTAAGTTCCAGAAGCTCTATAAATGCTGCTACTGGACCAATCAGATTAATACAACATGAAGAAGAAAGCCTTGTGCTGTGGTTGGATGACTGATGACAATGCAAATTACAGATAATCAACTAGGCGTGTGCTTGGTGCTGCTGAACAAATTTTAGCAGAGGGAGGAATATTACAGAGATTTTAGCAGAGGGAGGAATGCTGTTCCAGAATGAACTGCGGAAGTCAACATTTATAGCCAGTTCAGATACATGCAAAAAAGTACCTAATCTCTTTGCACATTTCTTGTTTGGAGTCTGTGAAGCATCGCTTGAAGCCCGCTCCCAGATATACTAGGCAGAATTCTAGGCTGCCCTGTGGATCTCGGACACTTCACATGCTCCAGTCTTCAAGCATGGACAGCCGTTGGCAAAACACCACAAAGGAAGGCCTACTCTTGACTTCTTCAGAGCAAACTTGAGCAAATATTCCATATCTGCATCTAACCCATGGTTCTGTGCTACAGTTGCAAGTATTACATGTATTTTGCACTTGCCAATACAATATTAGAAGCAATAACCGAACCTGCTGGCAACCTTTTAAGAACAAATCATTCTAAGAACAGGAGCACAAAGTGTTTGGTCTTGTGTCCATATCAATAAAACAGACACTTTGATGAACTTACTGTAAAGAAATACACATGGAGTGGGAACTGTACTACAGTTACTATGTCTTCAGATTAAAGGCTTTTTAGAATGTGAATAAAAATGATCACTTACAAGAGTTCACGCAAGGACTTTTCAGCTGCTTTGACAATTTTTGAAAAATCAGATGATCTGTGGCTCATTTCTGCAACAAAATAAATATATCAGAAATGACACAATACAAACCGTATCACTAAAATAAATTTGGCTTTATAAAACTGCCATCTTTTAATTCGCATTTATTCACTGGAGATAGAAGGTCAGTGGGTACAGGAACTGTGTGCAAATGTCTGCTTCCTCCACTGCAATGAATGGAGAACTCTTTTCAGGCAGCACAGCTACGTACATCAGAGCTCCTACACCCTTGAGGAAACTGCTAGACCAGGGTGACAGCTTTTGTTTCAGTACCATAGGGGGTAGAAACTGCAGAGGTAGCTGGATCCTCAGTTCACTTCACTGGAAAGTGAAAGGGAAATAGCAAGAGCTGGTGTTGCAGAGCCATAGCTGGAGTGTTGCAGGTGGATCAGGAAGACCAAAGTTTAAAGTCCTGCTCAGCTACGAAGTTCATTGGGTGACTCTGAGCCAACTGCAGTTTCTCAAGCTTAACCTTCTACATTGTGCAATCTTGAGAAGAAAATGAACACCCCTGGCCCCTTCAGACATCTGCTTTCCAGAGCTCATTGGTGCAAGGGTGGGATAAAAGTTGGAGAGATATTTCAGAAAGGATAATTCTCAAACTGGGAATGCCTACATTTAAATGTGTAGCTCTTCCTTGTTGTGTTCATTAAAAAATACAGTTAAAAGCTCCAAATGCTAAAAAGACATCAAGAATAAGTAAGAATGCCTTACCAAGAACACTAATGCCAAGTCCATTGTAATTCACCAACTCTTTCTGGGCTTCTAACAATACCTACAAAAGAAATCAATTCGAGATCATTGTGGACATTTCAATGTCAAATCTCACAAATCCTAGTTACTATATAGAATCATTTGTAAGTGTATGTGTTATCCAAGCATGGGCAGACATAATTATACCAGGTTGTTTTCTATCACCTAATCCTTTTTTGTTTCTTTTTCCTTTTGCTATTGTAGAACTGGAGATACCAAAGACACATCCAGAGACTTTCTGCACACTAGGCATGCACCTTCTACTTTTGAGCTATGCTTTCTGAGCTTGTATATTTCTTATAAAAAGGAATTCTTATAAAGACTTAAAAAAAAGACGGATTCAACAGGATCGGATTATGTGTAGTGTCGCCCATGGTTATTTCAATATGGCTAAAGTTTTAGCAGCCAATCAAAGGTTGTTCAGTGTTTCAGGTACACTGTCCTACACTGGGAATGAGTTATTAACAAAACACCTCGCATCCTGAGGCATTCTCTCTTTGCACCGATGTGAAAGACTGCTGGAATAAATGACCTAATTTATCATTTTCATGCACAGCATTTTGGACAGATCAGATCTGGCATTACTAACACTGGGCACCATTTTTTCCCAGTAAACCACTGAAAAATAAAGGCTTTTTTCAATATCCATTGATATACATGTGTTTAGGTACAAGTTCTATGGAACATCAAAGCTCCTTTCTAGCTGATTAATCAGATTCAGCACAACAATAAGACACTAATGCACAATCGTTTGATTAGAAACGGCATCAAACTCATGTTATTAGGGATGGGCAATCTGGTTCTCTAATTGTTGTTCGACTACAGCTTCCATCTTCCATGGCCCTATAGGCTAGGGCTTATGAGGGTTGGAATCACACAACATCTGGAGGACCACAAGGTTCACATCCCTATCAGAATATTATGTATCAAGATTAATTCAAATGAAAATGTTTGCTGCAGACTTCTAAAGCAGTCTTTTAGAAAGTAGCATCAACTTCACAGCTTCCCATTGGTGTAGCCAGGATTTATGTTTTTTGGGGGGAAAACCTCAGTTAAATATTTTTATTGATTTACTTGATTAGGACATGGCAGCTGCCCGCCCCCCCCCCCCGGCTATGTCCATGCAGCTTCCCAGGTCCAAAAGAGAACAATGCACAAGAGTGCTTTAAACTAACTAAAGCGCTTAGGAATGCAATTCTTATGTAAAGCTGGAAAAATAATTTATATCTGAAGGAGCCAAACATATGTGATTGGATCAAGACAGATGCTGATGTAACTTTCTGAGCAGATGAGTTTACAGTCAGCTTATTACTATCATATGTTGTATAAAATCTATTTCTCCAGTTGCCTGACATTAAACTAGGATATCTGCAAATGTTTTTCTGTCCTACATGTTCACAAAGCATTTATTCAGCAGTGGTAAACAAAGGGTTCTTTTAATTCCAGCCCCATGCACAAACAAAAGGGGTAAGCATTTTTATTCCATGAGCTCTGATATTAGTAGCTTTTTCAACTGGAAAAAACCAAGCAAACTATATTCCTTTTCACAGCTGTTGGAGAAAAGAAGGGGGGAATTTAGGTAGTTTTTCCACAGCTGCTGGGACACACCTCCACAGAAAGAGAATGTGTACTGTTCTGAAAAGCCCTGAAATGGCCCTTGTGTTACAACTCAACAAAACGTTATCCTGTAATAAAAGCCATGCAAAGCATTTGTTTAGGAGCGATAGGAAGTTAAAATGGGTAACCAATAATAGATCTGGGAGCATAGGTTCGACATTTTAAAACAGACATATGTCCTTTTAAAGAGAGTGGGAGTCAGAGACAAAACGCGCTTTCCACTCTTCCAATACAAGGCTTTGGGAGTTAAAAAGAGGAGGAGGAATTGCCAGATGTTCTGGGACAGCCTTGAAAAATACATCCCCCCCCCTTTACTACTGTACCTGAAAGAGCAAGGCGTTAACAATTGCTCTTTAGTTCACTGCCAGCATAGAAGACGCCAGCACAGCAAGAAGATAAACGAAGATATGAAGAGGCGAGCTAGTGCGAACTTGCCAGCTAATTAGCGTACTTGACAAGAATCCAGTACAGCACTTTTTTAAAGCCCCAGCCTTTCTCACCCTCTGCTCCACTTTAACCACGAATGCAAAATCCCTCCTTTGTTACAACTTGCTAACACCCGTCTCGAGGCAGCTCTCCGACGGGAGAATGCGGGAATGTCCTCTGTACCTAAAGCAAACACTTGCAAGTTGCCCCTTGGAGATATCGCTTCCACAGTGTAATAGCTGTTGATCTTTTCACATAACCGCGTAGAGAGGACGGGAACACAAGCACGCCCCTTTTGCAATATCTCTTGGCATTGTGGAATGCTGATTCGGGGAGTCTCTTCCCTGATCAACGATCCGCAGCTCCTACCCCCGTTCCGAGGGCACCAAAAAGCGCGCACCCCCAACGCGTTATCGGAAGGGCAGCCTTAAGTTGAGCGGGGTTTACTTCCAACTTACAGCGCAAGCCTACTCGGAAGCAAGCCTGGCCAGCTGCCATGGTTACGTGAATACAGGACTGCAGCCACGGCGACCCGGGCTTCCGAAGGCACATGCATAGGATCGGGCTGCGCAGTGCAAATCCTCCCCCCGCGCGCATCTTGCCTGCAGGATTGAGCCCCCGCGGAGCACGTACCGCCAGCGGCAGCTTCGCGGGTCCCGCGCCGAAGTTGGCCACGTGCTTCTGGGCGTCCATGGTCCGGGCGATGCTTCCTCCGCGTCCCTCCGGCTTTGTGGGGCTGCAGCCCAGCCGCCGCTCCGGATATTCCCAAGCCCAGCGACCTTGAGCGTGCCTGCTCTCCGATTGGCTCCTTGTGCCGAGGTATGGTAATTGCCACGCTCCGATTGGCCAGCGGCTTGGGTCTGGCCGAGCCATTGGCCGGATGGGCGCCGGAGAGAGGCGATGCAAGGCAGGAGGCAGATTGCAACATTCCCGGGGCTCCGGCAGCTGGAGCGGCTGCTCGCGGCTCGTCCGCCGCCGCCTCCGCCGCCACTCCCCCTTGGCAGCGGAGCCGGAGAGCCGCGGGCGCCTGTTCTCTTTCAGAGGACGACGAACTCTGTGCTGGGCACCTTGCCCGCCCCGCCTGCACCGACAGAGCAATTCTGGTCTCTGCAAAGCGTTCCAGGAAGAGTAAAAAAGGGATGGGGGAAGGCTCTAGGGAAAGAAGAAAGAAAGGGAGCTGAAGTCTAGAATTGTTGGAAACCAGACCACGCCGCACTGAAAAGGATCGGGCTACAAACGCATACAGTGGAACCTCGGGTTACATACGCTTCAGGTTACATACGCTTCAGGTTACAGACTCCGCTAACCCAGAAATAGTGCTTCAGGTTAAGAACTTTGCTTCAGGATGAGAACAGAAATCATACTCAGACGGCGCGGTGGCAGCAGGAGGCCCCATTAGCTAAAGTGGTGCTTCACGTTAAGAACAGTTTCAGGTTAAGTACGGACCTCCGGAACGAATTAAGTACTTAACCCGAGGTACCACTGTATTGGAATGTGCTGGCTCCTTCCTAATGGACAGTGGAATACACTGTTTGAATTTTCAAGTGGTCACTGGGGTGCATTTAAAACAGGAATGTGACACCTAGGGCCCACTAGACAGATTTTCCCTGAACTACTGCAACTATTTATTTATTTCGTGGAATGTATATACCGCTGATTGTAAAGTAGGGGAGAAACCTCAAAGCAGTGGCTGGTACTGGCAGGAGTTGGATTCCATCAACATTTGGAAGAACAGAATTTCCTAACCAGCCAGAGAAGTATTGTTAAGGGTTTCCAATACCAGTATGGATTATTCATAGTTAACTAGCCTTTATCTTGAGGCTATACCAGGACTTGACAAGATAGTGTTAATAGTAGTGTGTTGCTGTCACGGAACTAAGCAAGTTAGTCAATTGCTTCTTCATCTTGAGAATGTTCTGATTGAAAAGGCACTTATTTGAAGAAAAGAGGGCAGACCTTGCTCCACCGCAGAGAGGAGGTGGTAATGCAGTTGAGAAAAGCATAGTTTTGCAGTGCAGTGAGCTAAGGCACTATTTACACTGTGTGCCTCTACCTGCGCTCAACTTTTATATTTTATTATAAGCCACCCTTGATAATCATCCAAAGGAAACCAAATCCAAAAAATACTGTGGCCCTGGAACTTCTCAATGCTAAACATACAACACAATTGTCCTTTGAAGTAGCTGCTGCAATGGCAACTCTAGCAGCCAACTGTGTTACAATAGATTCTATTCAGTGATCCAGTATGGTACAGTGGTTAGAATATTGGACTCAGACTAAGCATATCTGTGTCCAAATTCTTGCTCAACCATGAAGATCAGTGAGTGACCTTAGGCCAGCCTCTGTCCCTGCCTAATGTACGAGAGGGAAGTGAGAGGGCCTGTAAGTACTCCAGGTAGAAATGAGTGGGAAATAATAATAATAATAATAATAATAATAATAATAATAATAATAATTTATTATTTGTACCCCGCCCATCTGGCTGGGTTTCCCCCAGCCACTCTGGGCGGCTTCCACAGAAACCAAAAATACACTAAAATATCACACATTAAAAACTTCCCTATAAGCACTTTCTACTGCAATTGGGCTCAAAACTCTACCAGAATGGAGAGTTACTAAAATGGGCTTTGAGAGGTGGTTTGAATGAATTTTTAAAATGTCTCAATATTTAGAAATAGAGGCTAAATGACATCAGGAAATCTAAACTGAGTACTATTTTGGAATCAGCATTTCAAACCTAGAACATAAGGGAGAGCTCTTCCAATCCAGTTGCTGGCCTGTACATAGGCAAGTTTTGCACCTTTGCACTTGGCCACTTATTACAATGGCTATGCAGAAATTTGGATATGACTGAGCAGAAAGGCTTAAAATGAATACAGTTGGGTTACCGACATGCTGCTCAGGGGTGCACCTGGTGCCTGCAGAGACATTCACTGGTGCCTATATGCTCCTTCCCTGCCACTGAAATTGGGTTTGAAAGAAGCATTCTGTTGCAGTGGGTAGATTAGGGTGTGGGTAATTATGCACATGATATTTTTTCTACTTTATGAATGTGCCCACAGTCCCCAAAAGGCTGATGGCCTCTGATTTAAGAGCCTTCAATTTTGTAGTAAGGTCAGGAACAGAGCACAAACATTGAATTCCAAAGGTCCCATATTCAATTCTACGTTCAAGTAGGGATGTGAAAAATGGAGTAATGTCCCAACAGAGAATAAGTTGGCTTCCTAGGTTCACCCTATGTTAGCAAACCAATTTATCAAGCATTGATTGAACTAGAAAGAGGGTAGGAATTAAGGGTGCAATTTACTTTTTCAGTGTAATATTGGGAAACTGGAAAGAAACTCCTTTATTAATTCAGGTTAAGGTTCAATTTCTCAAAAAGACAAATGATGAAATCCTACCCCACCCCCACCAGCAATGTGGTGTGGAGGTGAAGCAACTGATGTTGAGTAGATGTGAATTGTGCACACAGCACATTCCACAGATTATGAAATGGACAAACTGACGTCATATGAAAGGGCAAATACTCTCATAAGTTTAAGCAGGAAGCTGCCAACAAGTTCATGATATTACTGCATGAGACCAAGAAACCAATGCCTTCAGTAGCTTGCCGTAGAACTGAAAATAACTGTGAAATTGTCCAACCAGCCAGCCTAATACTTATATCATCAAAAGTGAACAGAAGTTGTAAAATGACAAATTGAAATTATGGACACTGATAAGCTATGGAACAAATAGAGGTCAGAGTATTGATGTAAAGCTTTTGCCATGTCAAACACAAAAGCACTCAAAAGTAGAACATTAACCACTATGCATGGGGTTCTTTTAAAAGCCACAAAGCAACTACAGCAAAAAGACATTTTAATTTCTATGCTTCTTAAAACAAGTTGAAACAATTTTTGTAATAAAATATTAACACTCAAAACTAAGTGTTAATCAAACTGCCTTGTTTGCTAGGCGTTAACAGTACCATGTACCGTAAATCTAGTTTTAAGAATGATGAAAGTCTACTGCTGTTTTGGCTTAGTAAAAGTAGTTGTTCCATGGAAAACAATTAGCTTTGTTTATAGTCAATTCAGGTTTAATAATTAAAATAAAATTAGTTTTAAATTGGTATGAAAGCAAACTGTTCACTGTAGGCTGAAATCTGGTATACCTTTCATGCCTATTGCTATAACTTAGGCCTGGTTCACACATGCATATCGTATAGGCTTTTATCCAGCACAGCACTAGGTCTTTCATTCCATCAGTACAAGGATTTCTGCTTGTGCAATGGAATGTTCCTCCCTCTCTTCCCCTGCATACCCCCTAAATAGTTTGGATGCAGTTTGAACAAGATTCAGTCATCAAATATCTTTTTATATTTTATAATATCCACAGTTAGTTAAAATGAAAAGCAAACACCTTTGAAATACTTTTTTTAATCAATAAAGCTCCTTTAAAGACAACTTATACTTGTGTAAAAAAGGGAGAGGGAAATACTAAAAAAAGCCACAGCCACTTAAATTTTTGTATTTGATTCCTAACATTGGTATTCCGTATGTGAATAGTCTATACAAAATCAGACATTAAAACTTGTTAACAAAATATTTTTTAGAAAAACTAAAAAAAACACACCATTTTATTCACATAGCATTTTGTTATTTAAAACCTGACTCATGTTAGAATTATGCACAAGAATTATCGGAATCACATGGGATCCTTTATAAAACAATATAAAAAGTAAAACACACAATCCTTTTGGATACTGCTAGCAAGTATTCTTGCTAAGATTTACACTGCAAGAAGTTAGGCATGACATAGACGCACAAAGTGCTGCATAAAGTTTTTGAAGCAAGCATTTATCTCCAAGACCCATGAAGTGAACTACCCAATAGGAATGTTTTGGTTTTTTAAATACCTCCCATAGAATGGATGCTTTCTTGTATTTCAGAATCAGAACCTACTGTGTCATTTCTAGAAAGATCTGTTTGATGTACACTTTGATCTCCAGCAACAAAGCTTGCAGTATAGGGAAGTCTTTTTGAGGAAACTTTACCATTTTCACTAGAAAGATTGCTGAATTTGCTACTATACACATTTACACTGGGATCAGAGACTGAATGCCAACTAGCAACTCGTTGCCTTGCTGAGGACCCTCTTGCTTCCAGTTCCACAGGTTGGCTGCTCTTCTCAGAAGATGCTGCCTGGCTGGTTTTTGATGCATTTTCTTCCATTCTCCAACTTTCAACTTCGCCTTCAAAGTCTTGCCATAAACTTTTCTTGGGCTGCCCAATGCCCTGAAGTTCTTGTCCTTCTGTTGTAGCAGCTAGGACATTATTTGCAATTTGAAATGGAGCTAAATCAGTCTGGAAGGAGATGGGATCAGGAATAACAGCTGAACCAGCATTCTAGGGAGGGAAAGAAAAGAAAATCAAAATGAACATCAGCTGAATATCTGCAGCAATTTTCTAACTAGACTGCTATCTTTACAGTCAGAGGGAGAATTGCTTCTCTCCTACCCCAATATAAAACATCATCAATGTGCTCAGAGTTGGCTACCACTTTCTCTGCACTCGGAAGAAGGGAGATAGCTGGAAAGTGTGAAATAAGCAAGTCTCACCAAACTCATTATCATATTAGCAATACATTCTAATATGTCTTTTTATGGTCTATTCCCATCTGTAAGCATTTTGACAGCATATGCTGTCATCAGTCACAAAGATGATTGCTCCATAATGTTCAACACTTGAGCAGTATGCAACAAGGCAACAAGAAGAATCCACCAACAGCATACGAATCAATATGGCTTACTTGACCAAACAATCCCTCCCCCCTCACAAATGCAAACAAACCTCACTGCAGCCAAACACAGACAAGCAACCACGTTTTGCCCCGCAATCCCTCTCAACACCAAGGAAATGTAATAAGCAAATAGATAGAGAACCTACCCAGTTAAATGCTGACAAAAAACCCACATGCACACTATATAAAAGAACATAAGATTCACCACCCCATCACCCCCTTCTTCCCCAACCTTATACTGTATACAACACTAATGTCTCATATCAAACGTAACTGATTTGTAGAAAAGACATCACAATCCGGAAAAGACAATACATGGAAACCAAGAAAACCTTTAATAAAAATTATTAAAAAAAAAAACACAACCTTGAGCATTATGCATAAAAGAATGATCCTTGACTGTTTGGTATGTCTGGCCAAATAATTTAAGACTGACTGAGAGGATCTTCTTCTTACCACCATAATCCAGGTATTGCCAGGATGATGAGGAGGACATGTATTCATATTATTATTTCATACCCACTGTTCATCATAGGAACCAAGATACAGCAATTCAATATTCAATATTGAGAACAGCTTAAAACAAATTACAGACACAAGAATTGAGTGGGTCCTCAAAATACTTCTCAAAGGCCAGGGTAAAGAAATCAATATAGAGAATCTCCCTGGCTACTCCCTCAGCTATAGAAATCTCTCCACATACCAATCATCAAGTATCATTAAGAAACACTCTGATGTCTTAATAGTTAGTTCACTTGGCTTTTTAGGCACAATCCTAGGAAACTTGAATTTTCACCATTAAGAGAGCAATCCAAAGCCTCACTCAGTCTGCCCCATGCATAAAGAAGAGGAGGAGGAGTTTGGACTTGATATCCCGCCTTTCACTCCCCTTTTTTCTCCATACAATTTTTTTCTCCATACAAATGTTGGAGCAGCAGTGCTGGAGAGGTCAGCCCTACAGAGCTGCCTGCAGCCACAACCAAGAGGCCTGTAGGGACAGACTTACTCTCCACCAATTAAGAACTCTGAAGTATCTTATGGCTTCTGGGACACTTCTAAGGAACCATAAATTGCACTCTTAACTGAATTTGGTAACAGCTTATATTTCATTTGCACAGGGAGGTGATTTCTTTTCTAAAAATGCTGTCTAAAACCCTTGGACTTCAATTTGTAAGCCTTACAACCAAGGGTTTCATTTGGGTATCTCCAATAAAAAGGCAGCTATACCAAGAATCTGAATGGAGAGTAAAACAGTGCTTGAACCACAGTTTCCTGGAAGTGAAGACACACAAGAGCATAAGAAGAGAGAAGTCATGAAAACAAAATTGTAGGTAAAGCAAAAGGGGGAGGAATTGAACAACAACACACCAGATGAATTTTGAGCAGGCAGTATTCTTCACTTGTCACCATACTTACTTTGAAATTCTCCATGTGTTCTTGTCTTTCTTCTTCAAATGACTTCTCCCTTTCTGTTACTGCTGGTTTAGCTACAGTAGAAGTCATTTGAGGATGGGCAAATAAGCCAAAATCCGATTGATCTATACCAGCCATTGCTGCAAGCTGTCCAAGTCTGCATGATAAAATACGTATTAAAATTTTTATACCATTTGATGGTAAGAAAACATTTAAGCAGTTTACAAAAATCTAAAATAAAACATTATAATTGTTAGTAAAATCATACGCTAATACAGCTGCTCACAGCATAAGTACAGAGAAGAAACTATTTTTAGATCATTTTTATACACTTTTGCTCTCCAACAATGATTAGGTCAGGCGTTGGGGGGCAATGGGAATTTGGAGAGAGTGTCATGGGTGACACATAAAATGGCTGCTGTTGGGTGGCATTCCCCCGTAGTAGGAAAAATATACGATGTGGCCACTCCACACACAGTCCAAGAACTGCTGTTGTTGCTAGCTTAGAGGTTGCTCCTTTTCACCACGTGCAGCATCAACTAGCTGGCTGACTGCCAGGGAGGGCAGGCTCAATCAGGGAGGGGGGAAGCAATGTGTGAGAGAGAGCATGTGTGGAGTGGCAACGTCATATTTTTTTTCCTAGTACAGGGGAATGCTCTTTGTTGGAGCATCTGTGGGTGTGTACACACACACACAGACATGCATGCAGAGAAAATCAGTATTGTGTGATCAGGACCAGAATTGTGTAGAATCAGGACCAGCATAATGTAGTTGACCTCCCGCGGTCTGGTGGGAGTGAGAAGGACAGCAATGAATTTACACATAATTTTGTGGTATGCCACACTAGCAGTAGTTCCATTAAAAAGAAATGGGGAGGGGAGGAAAATAAAGTCAGGAGGAAGAAAAGAAGCTGTACATGTGCATAGCAAAGAAAGGCAGCTAAATGAAGTCAGTTCCTCTGCCCTTTCTTCAGCACTGAAAAGTTAAAGGAAGAGGGGACATCCTTTCTTGGGCATTTAAGCAAAGAGAAGAGGTTGAATGGTTTTCTGTTCATAACAGTGTAGTTTGCAAAAGACTTAGCACCTGACCTTTCATGCTCCTTTATTCTTCCACACACCAAGCTCTTTAAAAGGGTGGGGGAGAGACTCTCTTTACACAAACACACTGACCACACAGATCTCCCCCTCTATACCCAAATGCCTTGTAAAGGCCCACCCAGGGGGGTGGTCAGACTGACCATGAAGCAATCAGGGACATCATCCTCATTGATTCTCTTTGCCATCCAACTCACACTGAAAGAAAATGCCCTCCAGGACACGGAAAACCCTGTTGCTGCCTTCACAATTCACAGGTCCACATGCAAGCTAGGAAGCATCTAGAGAAACCATCTTTGTAGCTTTTCCCTCCTCACTTCATGCTGAAATGAAATGCCCTTCTGGGCATTCAAAGTAATGGCCACCACCCTACTTTTCCTTTCCATGTCATCTTTATCTCACAATGCATAAGCCAGTAACATTCCAGTTTTCCCCATGGCATGTTCAGGATTCCCTTCAAAGAGAATGCCCCCCCCCTTTGTAACCAAACTGGAGTAGAAGGGGGTGGGGCCTTCTAACTCTAGGAAGTGTTCTATATAGAAGGTCATGGGCCTCATCTTCAATAAAATTAATATAGGTCAGGTGACCTGAAGGACAGAAAGGCCTTCACAAGTGCCACGGTGCCTGCTGATACTGGGTTGGCGACCCCAGGATTAGGCAAACTTTTGAGCAGTGAGGATCTCAGAAGATGAACCATTGATGGTTTTGAACTATAACAAACTATTAGAATGGATAATTCCAAGGGTAACTCAAAAGAACACACTCTTACCCTGCGTCTTTTAGAAGATCTAAAAAAGCATGAAACTTTTGGAAAGAACTCTCAATGCTGCCCAAAACTCCTTCATCTTCAAGAATTGTGCTGGCTACTGACTGTGCATGGAGGACCTCTGACAAAGAACAGTTTAGATTCCGTAAGCGGGTGTTTTCTAGTTCCAGCTAGAAGAAATCATGAAACATAATTTAATTAATACTAAATTAAATACCCGGCAACTTGGGGAAACACACCTGCTGCTTCCATATTTCGTGTGTGGCCCTTAGTGCAGAATAGGTTGCTGTTATTTTCCCATAACCACCACTCCAACAATATTATATACACTCATTTAAACAAAAGCTATATTATCAGATAAGAGTTTAAAAGCCCTGAACAGAAAAGAAATTATATCACACTGAGTGTTGATGTCCTTATGGCTTTAAAGCTGACAAATTGTGTATGCTCTATTGAACTCAGTTTGAAAAGCCTCTAAAACCTAAAATCCTGGAAAATTCAATTTTCTACTTATGTGAGAAAAAAGGCTAAAACACTATTTAAAGCAGGACAAGTTAGTGTCTCTTTTTAAAAAAGCGCTAAGAAAGAAAATGAGTGCTACCTCCATTATCCGTTCTTCAGCAGTTGCCCTCTCTCTTCGTTCTTCTTTTAATCTTAATTGACATTTTTCATAATCCATCTGTCAGAAGGAAGATCATGGTTTCTTAAGGGTACTATAGCTGAAAATTAGATTCTTTGGGATTTATGCTTTAGAATTTTGGAATTTCCAAAATTTTCTGGGTTACCTCTGCTCTCAAAATCAGGGGTTTTAACCTCAAAAGACAAAACCATATTAAAATATGTTACTGCTGTGTCTGTATACATCCCATACATAGGTAAAGTTTAGATACATGGATCAAGCAGATCAGTTGCATTACCCTCACTCTGATCAAAATAATTATTATATGGATGTAAATAAACTTAAACTAAGCATCATTAAGCTTTTAACTACAGTAGTTAACTTTTAATTACAATCTTGTAGTTTCCTATAGTAAATCCTTCAAGAAATTTTGGCTCGCTCCAGTGGCTCTTGTTTGAAACAACATTTCAGTTGGAAGAGAAAAAGGTTCCTAACACATCACTTTGGAAAGAAACTATAACAAACAGCTGTAAACACAAGCAGTTAAAGGTCTAACTTCTCTCCCCCAACACACACAGTACTCACCAATGAATCTATGGGAATATTTTATCCTTAGACTACTATACTAGATAACATTGTCAGAATTCTAGGATGCAGTCTTTGCGTCAGAGGCAGAGCAAGGAATGAAACACACCATGTCCTACACAGAATCTCTCAGAAGGAGAGGCCATAGTTACCGTATTTTTCGCCCCATAGGGCGCACCTAGTTTTTTTTTGGGGGGGGGGAATAAAGGGGGGGAATTATTTTTTTCCCCCCCAGGCGCGGGGGAAGCCCGAGCTTCCCCCGACCCCAGCCCCCAGAACAGCCTGCTATCCGCAAGCCTAGGGAGCCCGGCGGGAAGTCGCGCCGGTCTCCCCAGGCTTGCAGAGAGCTGCGCGAAGCCCGGGCACGCTCTTCGCACCGGTCTCCCAAGGGTTGCACAGAGCTTCCTGAAGCCTGGAGAGCGAGAGGGGTCGGTGCGCACCGACCCCTCTCATTCTCCAGGCTTCAGCGAAAGCCTGCATTCGCCCCATAGGACGCACACACACTTCCCCTTCATTTTTGGAGGGGGAAAAGTGCGGTCCTATAGGGCGAAAAATACGGTAAGTGGTAGAAAGCATGTAAAGGTTCCCAGGTTCAATCTGCAGCACACAGTTATAGAAAGCCCCCATCTGGTTATTTAGTGCAGCACCAATATTGGCTGGGGGAGCCACTGCTTTTCTACGTCTCTGATCTGAATACGTACCAATTTGAGGTGTTTGTAACTCATTTTGGGCATTCAATACATATTGGGGGTGCTACTGGTATACCACTCCCTTCTGCTCAGCAGCCTCCCTACCTGAGCTGATTGAGCTATTCTCAGTGTTGAAGACTTCCAGGGCTTCTGGTGTATCTCACCATTCATGCCAGGGCTACCTTGTGAGGCAGGTCAGGACTTCACAGCTGTCATGACAACCATGGGCATGTCATTGGTTCAACACAGAAACCTGGAATTCTTGAGATTTGGTTTGCTCAACAGGGCAGAAAGATAAGTGTTCTAAAAGTGAGGAAATTGATATTAATTCCCTTGTTGCAATCAGGTCACTTCGGTTGAACTTCAGGCTATCAGTGACTTTACCTGTCTGTGGAGTGAAATAGTCCAAGACTAATTGATTACTGAGGGCTCTGGGGAATTTTCCAGCTGGTATGGTTGGCACTCCTGCTGAAGTTCTACTCTCAGGTAGGTGACACAATCACTCCCAAGCACCCTCTTCCACCCAGCTGAGCCTGTGTGGCTCCTTGCTATACACCTGAACTGAGGTTAATGAAGATGGCTGCAGTGAAGGTGGAGAAAAACATGCTGAGTCTGATCAAACCCATCAGGCCTCCTCTGTCATGATGCAAGCGAGGAAACGGGTCCTTCTTCTCCACCACTGCATCCATCTTGGAGTGTCCAGTAGAGCTTTTCTGGGTGCGGAGGGGCCTTTTGAAATCTGGCTTTCAGGAGATACAGTAGACCCCTCAGTAGCATGCTGTGACACATTTGCAAGGCACTTTGAGGATCACATAGATGGCATCTATCATGACTTGGTTGCCACAATTAATGCCATATCATTTGTGGAGCTGCCTGGAGCACTGTTATTGCTACTTGAGTATGTAGACCAAGGTACCTGATCAATTCTGGCTTATTATAAATGTAGCAGGGAGGGGATGTTCATCTGAGTCTAGGAGATCACAGGATGGCACAATTCCAGCTTCTTTAAAAGATGATATAATTTGACCAGCTCCTAGTTTGCACAAGTATGACATTAACTGCAATGGGCAAGTGGTTAATATTCCTTTCCGGGGCAAGGTAATGAAAAGGGTGCTTAGTTACTCTTGGACAAATACGCAGATCCATTTCCGTTTCAGGTCTCCTTTGAAGACACAAACTGCCTTGGCTGCTCTATAGGGTGGCCTTTGTCAAGAGAAAGATTGTAGGATTAACTAGTATTGGCAGGAGGGTTAAATAAAGTTTCTGTAAACAAATGTAAGACAGGTGGGGGCATGGATCTCATAGAAATATATTATAAATTACATATTGTCTAACTCAAAAAAACTTAATTCTGGGCAGACAAGGTGCTATTAATTTTTTGCCACTGTTGCCCTTAGTAAATAAGACAAGTTTCCCCCCCCCCAAAGTTGCTTATCTAGTTGCTTTTGTTACTACAACTCCCAAAGCAAAGTGAGGTACCAACTGCACATATGGTTTCCTTGCCTGCATTCATCTGGATCACAGCCTATATTTGCAATTCATTTCTGTATTTATAAAAATTTAAAGACCTGTACATCTAGCAGCCTTCTAGAAAAATTAAGTTATATGGGGTCATTTGCGGACTATTTCTATGTGCCTAGTCCCATGCACAAAGGCTAATCACTGAATTTCATCTGTCTTTCATAAAATCTAAAAGACAGAAACTGTACCTGTAACTGATGGTACTGTTTTAACTTTATTTCTGGTGACTTTGTGGCATCAGTTTCACATATAACATCCTCTGCAGCACCATCTGTCTCCGTTTCAGATGAAGACACACTTTCCACAGTTACTTTCACTGGAATGCCAGCCTGCATGCACATACAGTAGGCACAGTATACAATTAGATTTAATTATGTTAATGATCTCATTTTACAAGTGGATTATATAACATTAGTGATAATCTGATAGATATCTTTTATTTTGCCTCTTCTACAAGTCCAGGTCACACTGTACTTGTTACTGAATTTAAGTCATAAACTTCCCTAAGGAAGAATCTTTACAATCGGACATTGTCAAAAATAAGCTGTCCTTCCCAAAGCCAGTGATAATACTCTCTTGTTTGTTTCCTAGAAATGAGGAGAAATTATAATGTTACCTGGATTTGCAATGGAATTTCATGAGTACTCTTCCTAGATGCAGCCCTAAACACAAATTAAATGTTTTAAGAAGTGGGGAGGGGGAGTCTGATGTTTGCAGCATGACTTCACAGATTTAAGCAAAGCTTATTTCAGCCTGAGATCAAGTCCGCATATCAGTATTCCCAACCAAAGCCTTCACTTTCCCTCCACCCAAAATACTGTTAATGTACAACAGCAAGCTGCTGACAGTAAGTAATTCATAGCAGACTGTGAATGGGGTCAGTGGAATCTCTCTCCCTAATTCACTTGCGTTCCATGTTTATTTGCAGAATCAGAATTCCTATTTAGATGAGTTCAACCACCACAGCAAAAACTATGCACGTCTTTCTCCAATCTCTCTTGAACTGATACAAATATACTAGCTGTCTTCACAAGAACATGGTATATTGGGAGCATCACTTGATTTTCACCTACAGTTTCTACATGGGCACAAGCCCTATATGGCATACATGTACAACAACTAGCCACGAGGTTGATTCATGTGTCATCAAAGTAGTCATTACAATATCAAGAGTGATTTCTATCCCAGACACAAGCCAAGCTTTTCAAAAGAGAGTGGTGCTTGTAGGGGTCCCTAAAGAAGTTGTTAAGCTGCAGGGCATTCAGATGTTGAGCTACTGAGTACAACACAGATGCTGGTGTCACTTATTTCTTTTAAAACTATTTATAGCACTGTACGTTTACATATCTATAACACAATTTGAACTCAGTGGAAATATATATGCCAGGGCTACCTAAGAATATACTAGCCCCTTCCACGTTACCTTAATCCACAAAGCATATGGCATTTTTTCACTGCCTTCAATAAATATTACCTGTGCTGTTTTGCACGTTCAGCAGTACGCCAAGGCAGGAAGCCACGTGCTCCTGGAGGCAAGGGCTTTGGAACATAGCTGTCTTGATCACACAGCATTGTCTTACTAGGACTTAAGGGCTTTTTTGATGCAAATCCTGTATCATAGCAAGCAAGAGAAAGAAGAACGATTGATCCAGATAACACGGGGGGGGGGGGATACAGAATTTTAAAAAATTAGGAGACAAGAAGTAGATGAAATGGGTTTCTGCTGTCAATCCAACATCAATCATCTAAGATTTTACTGAGAAATTGTTTTTATTCCATAAGTCCCAGGTTATATTCCACAGTTGGAAAGTCCTTGGGAAAATGCTGATTAAAAGTCAACAAATAATTCTTCTACCACCACATAGGTTCATAAAACTTTATAGGACTTACTAGTAACTTGCTTTCACAGGGCTAATGAGGACTAATGTGCAACAACGGGGAATCCTTATGTGATTCCGTATTGTTGCACATTAGTCCTCATTAGACCTGTGAAAGTGTACCGTTTTAAAAATTAAAAGAAAAATTAAAAAGTTATGACAGAGGAACTTAGGTTAGGTAGAGCAAGCTATATAGCAAGCCCATCAAGGCCAACATCTCTCAGAATAACCAGTCTCACAGGGCTGTTGTAAGTGTTGTAAGAAATAGGAAGAATCATGGGTGCTGCCTTGAGATCATTGCAGGAAAAGCAATATAAATGGAAATGATTCAAGGCTTAAAATATATACATTGTTGTGATTTATATTTCAGTCACTAGAGCATGCTGTTGATGAAATTCCAGATTTTATATATAAACATTGTTTTAACATAATTTTTCTTTTTATAGTCAGATGCTAGATTCAGGCTAAGTCTCACCATGTTGAACAAGACTCATGAGTAAATGTACTTAATATTCCATTGCACAGTCCAATCATATCCATTTTCTTCCATGGGGAAGAAAAGTGCCCCGCTTGGTGGAGATACCATCCATGGCAAATGGCAATCTTGTAGCACAATCCTATGCATGTTCATTCCCAGGTAACTACACAGAACTGCAGCCTTGGTGTCCAGAAAGTTCATAGATATTAGCTTGCATGCTTACCTCTGTGTCTCCAGATTACTGAAGCAGAAGTAGGGAAATAGCCAGATACATAAATTAATCAAGATAATACATTTTAGATACCTTTCAATTTAAGTAGTCATAAAAATGCCTTGGCTGGCTTGCTCAGAAGTTGTTTTTCCATGCCAACTAGGAAGCTCATATTTGAAGCATATATAACAAACTCCAATTACTAGAAAAGCCTTAAAACAAACCTTTTTGTTTAATGAAACATCACTCAGGACATTAAATTTACTGCATGAGGTCAGCACAGACCTCACTTAAAATTAGAATGTTGGGCTTCAGGTGATTCATTTTCCCTCCACATATTTCAAGCCTGGATTGTGAATGGATTTAAAATGGAAGGCAGTATGCAAGCTGTATTAAGGAAGTGATGTGGGTTGTGTGCATTGATGGATAGATACCTAAGGACATGAACACTGGTAAAGTATGAACACAGCAAATTGAAGCCTGAAATTTCTGACTACATTTAATCCTAAACATAGGGCATGTCTCAGAACTCTGTATACTATCTATCCTAGTTAAGTGTACTAGCAGCCATCCATATTTCCATTCACTACCCCTGCCTTAGCAAGTGGTCCATGACCCTTTGTTAATGGTGACAATGAGCTACTGCCTTAAGCTTTAGCTTGGAAGCAGTGGGGAATTGTCTCTTGAAGTTTCACTGAGGTTGAGAGGATTGTATGTAAAGAAGGGGAAGATCCCAGCCCCCCTTCCCTGGCTAGCTTCAAGGTAGAGAGAAATGTTGGGTGGTTTGGCAGCAAGAGGCAGAAGCACTTGGAATGGCTAGGCTAGTATGTTTTAAATAGTTCTACTTTGAAAATGAGAAGCACTTCAAAAATGAAAAATGGAATCAATGATTTTGTTTGCTGGTTGTTGGTTTGTTTTTGAAGCTTTCATTCTTCAAGCCAAAATAATTTTCAGCCTTGCCAACTGGCTGGAATCAATTGAATAAATTGATGTATGACTAGCTCAGCCAGGAGATAACCATGGTTTAGTAACCTAGATACACCCCAATTTAAATTCCTGGAAGTACTCTTATTCCAAGATCCTGATTGTTCTGCATTTTTTGTTCACTAGTAACTAAAAATGTGTTGGAATATCTTTTTTAGTTTATTAGGCAGTTTCTTAAGTTTCTTTCTTATCATTTGTTTTACTATTTCATTTTTTTAGTCTTGCTTCTAAACAAATATGACCATCTATATATACAAGCTGTATCAACTCATTGACATATCAATTAATTTTTATTTTATATCAACTTGCACAAAGCAATATACTTACCAATACGAATAGTAGCTTTTCCTTTTCTGCCATTTCCTAAGACAACTGTTCTTTTTTTAGGTTTATTTTTAAGGTCTTTTGAGGGTGGAGATGGAAGCCACTTATACTGAAGGAAAAGAAAAAGAGTGTATAATTTGATTTAGTAGTAACTACGTCAAGATGAACATCCTTACTTAAATTGCATACTTCCTGGGCTCATTGAGCACACCATTCCCAGGCCTATGAGGTGGTAGTGATGGCAACTGCAAAGAAATCTTTCTTCTCTGCCACAACATCAAAAGAATTGCATGCAGCTGAGCTTTTTCAGGAGGTTCACCAGACTGAGTCACCAGAAACTGCTTGCTCTGATGGTTTTGCCTGATGCATCATTGATAAACTAACTCAAATTCAGTCTGGCTTGGATGCTGTAGTTTATATGTAGTCTACAGCCACCCATTGCTGTTGCTTGGATTGACATAAGATCATTCTTAAGAATGTTGACAGGGTGCTTGGGAGTTTGAAAACCACCACATTAAAATAGCAACATCACATGCCTTGGCTAGCACAGATCTATCATGGAGAGCTTAGCAAATTTCTGAACAAGACTGGTAATATTCCTTTAAAGGCCAGAATTTCAAATTGGCAGTGGTCCAATCATTCTTTTAAAAATCTACACCAAATAAAGAAGTTTAGCCAGTTTTCAACCAGCACCAAATCTTTCTCTTTGGTGGAATGATTATGGTATTTGTGCAAGAAGAATTCCTCAAGGTATTGTTGAATGATACACCTCTCAACCCTTTTCAGTCCAGTATCAGCAAGAGACCAGCAGCCCTGGTAGGGGATCCCTTTCCTGAAGGTCAACAAAGACATCACCTCCCTACTGATCTTACTGGGCCTCTCAGCAGTTTTTGACTGTGTAGATTGCACCATTCTTTACACGGTTTAGAACATCTGGTGGTGGTGATTCTCCAGTAGTTCTTCTGTTTTGTCTAATTCAACACTTCCAATCACTTATCTTCATTGGAATTGGTGTTTGCATTTCGACAGAGTTTTATATATTATTTACTATGTATCTATGAAACCACTGAGTGAGGTCATTCAGTGCTTTGGGACCAGGTGTCATCAGTATTGTCCCAGTCTTCAAGCAGTGTCTGCAAACTGGATGAATTCAAGCAAAACACGAGGCAACGCGAATAGGAAATTCTCAGGAACAGGAGAAAAATTATTTGCTTGAGATAAAAGGAAGTGTCTCCCTGTCTGACCAAACTAAAAACCTGCTCTGAGCACATTGAAGAAGCAACCTAATGCTAGTCTGAATTTTAAAAACATGCTCTGCCTTTTTATAACTCAAAAGTGTTTTTTTCCCCCAAGACTTCCATTGTCCAAAATGTAATGAGCAGAGAAATGACTGGCACAATTATTTGGTATTTTGTAGATTATTTCATTATACTAGTAACTACAAACAAACTCTGTTACAGAATATACCTCCATGTTACTTCCATTTGCATTCATCAGAACTTTTTCAATTATTGTCTTCATTAAAGCATGATCTACAAAAAAAGATTAACAAAAACATTTTCATTATATGCTATTTTTTTAGCACCCACTATAATCCATTCAGCCTCTCCTCTGCCCTCATTTCTACTACTAGAGTGGCTAAAAGAACTACCTATATATAAAGTCTCCATGGCTCAGCCCCATATCTATCAAAGAGCCAAGTCAAAGGACCTAAATATATCCCCAGAGTTATCTAAATGCTAGTGCAGAAAGAGGGACCAGGAATTTACTGTCTCAATGATTGTCTAACCAGAGCTTCGAGGTTTTGAGTTATTAAGTTATGAAGACACTAAGGTTATTAAGTGGAAAGAGGGGGAGACCATTAAATGGCTATTTTTTTCTTTTACATCACAAGAGATACAGGCATGTGCTTCCGTATGGTGAATCTGTCGAACAGTAACGTCTTGCAGTAAATAAAAAACAACCACGCAGACTCAAAGATCCACAGTAAAAGAAAAACTTTACTGTGGCAAAAATTCTGTTCCATGCAATGTACAAGCAGAGTAAAAGAGAGCAAAGAGAGAGAGCCAAGAGATACGGCAGCTCGCTGAGCCCAGGAATTTATCTCTCCTGGCTCCACATGACTCTGAGTTAGTCAAAACAATATGAACTTTCCAGAGTCTTCCAGCACTTTCTAGTTTCTGCCCTCAAAGGCCTTATTCATGGCAGAATCTACTGCTGGTGAACCATGGGTATATAACCAACCCACACAGTAGGTTTGAATCACTCTTACAAGCTCGGTGATCATGAGTATTGGCCCTTAGAAGGCAGATGCCTGAAGCCTTTTAAGCTTACTGCACTGAAGACTGGTTAGATCTGGGAGCTTTAGGCTGATGCAGTTTTGACATGCAGCCCCTAGAACAGGGAAGCCAGTGTGGTAACTTCTAGATGCTGTTAGACTACAATTCCTATCTTGTCTGACCATGACATGACAAGTGGGGCTGATGGCACATCTGGATGTCACCACATTGGATACTGCTGCCCTAGAGTGTGTATGTACCCATCACAGGTACCAATCAATGCACTTTAGTCACTTCCTTCTACACAACCAAAAGGTTTCCATTTTCTCCCAATGCACCTCAGTTAGTCACTTCCTTACACATGTCTCTTCGCTAGTACATGGCAGCCAGCAACAGAGATGTATAAGGAAAGAACATGAGCACCTGCCTATTAGTATTCATGTTGGGGAGAGAGAAGGTATTAAAGAGTACTTTATGGCTCAATTTTGAGGGAAGGAGTCATCAGTGGAGGCAACAGAGAGCGCTCTCTAGCATTTGTCCAATTCAAAATATGACCCTGTCAAAAGGCAGAATCCTAGACAGAATCCTACAATACCTGCACATTTGTAAATCTGGTTTTGCCCCACAAGAAGCAGCTCTCTCTTTAAAGAGTGCCCTGAATATCCTCATTCTCAAGACGGTGGGGAACATTAATGTCACATTGTTTTTAAGTGCATTATACTTTTCAAATTCTAATATACATTTTTATACTCCTGGATGGTGCAACCAAAAGAAACATACCTATTAATGGATTTTTCCTGATGTCTAGAACCACAATTGTTTTGTTGGTCTCAAATATATCCAAAAGTGATCTAGCTCCCTCATTGGTAATTCCGCACTGCTGCAAATCAAGTGCTAGAATATTAAAGAAGAATATTATTAATTGGCATGATCTAGAAGTATCTAAACACAGACACAGCAGAATGTTTAGACAGACCCTGCTCTAACTTCAACCTGAAGTTGCCAAATTCTGGAAGAAAAAGAAGTATTATGTTATTTCAACAAATTCTGTGTGATTTTACACACACTTTGCCCACTAAATTATTTGCCCATCACTCAGTCAGTTTCATGTTAACTGGTCTCATACATAATCAAGTACATACACTGTTATTTGCATTACTGTCCACACATAGCAAGATTCATCTGGTCATGCCTACTTACCAGATTTTTCCGTGTATAAGACTAGGTTTTTTCCCTAAAAAATAATGTCAAAAATTAGGGGGTGTCTTATACACGGATACATCTCCCCCCATTTTCTTAAATCAGAGTCCCCCAAAATAGGGGGCGTCTTATACATGGGGGCGTCTTATAGACAGAAAAATATGGTAGTTGAGATTATTCAGTGTTACTTCTGAGGAGCTAGCGCTCCTGATAGTGGAGCAACAGCCCTTATTCCTCATGCTGCTGAAGGCCCTCCCCAGACCTAGTCCCTAACTGATAAAGCTCATGGAAATAAAGTTGAGGGAGGGGTAGAAAGCTAAGAAAGGGACAGAAGAAAGCAATCATGTTGGGCCAAATTATTTAAATGCAGAGCCTACATTCGGCTTAACAGAAGACTTAACAGAAATTCTTTACAGAACCATTCTTTGTACTTAAGAATGGTTCTAAACCTTATTTATAGGACCATATTAGAGCTACAAGTTAGTTCACAGAAAATGGCAGGGAACTTGACATTCCTCTCCCCATATTAAGAAACAGACCTTGTAAAATATGCAGTAATTTACTCCATGTAAAGGTGTTGTATCCTACACAAGCATGCTGTTTACAACTATATCTATAATTAGCACCTACCTTTTAACCATAGGTCTTCTCCAAGGCATTCAGCTAAAACGGCAGCACCTCGGTCACCAATAAGTGAGTTGCAGTTGAGAGTAATGCGCCTTAAACCAGCCATGCAGTCCAAATCAGGTCTCCTATAGCGCAGGCTCTCAGCCCAAGCTTCGCTGTGTCTTTTCAGTGCCTGATGCTTTCAAAGACAAAAGCACCAAAATGCAAATGCAAATAGTTGCTGAAAATGCCAGCTAGAATACAAAAACTGAATGACCATTATATTGTTGAAGGTATCATGAGAGCTAAAGCTAAAGTTAAAGTAATATTAAAACACACTTGAGAATAAGTTACATTTCAAACTCATTCTTTACTATGTGAAGGCAAACAGAATGCTGCATGCCTGTCAAAACGGAATGGCTTGTCTTACTGTGAACTTCAGGAAAACTGGATGCTATGTTAGAAGTTAGTATACTAGGGCTTCAGAAGTAGTCCTTAGGGGCAGGCAATTTTCATCACAAACAGAAACATATGCTTAAAGATCATGGATTTGCGTTACAGAAGACTCAGGGTGCAATTCTAAATATCCTAAACTAGGGAGTAAGGCTTGCACTCCAAACCTCACTAAGCCCCACTGAATTCAATACAACTTACCTTTCAGTAGACATGGCTAGAATGGTTAGAATGACACTGTAAATCCCTTAAAACTGAGTGGAATTTACTTCCAAGTAAAAATCCTGAGGATTATGCACATCCACAAACAGCCCTTTAAAAGCTGACATAATTTGAAGTCAACATTTCAATTAAAAAACAAAAGCCTTTCACATGTGGAAAATGTTTTTAACATGCCACAGAGCATAAAATTAGGTTAAACGGGACATTTCAAACTTTAAAAAGTCATCTTATAGATGAGTTGATACATGGACTTAGCAGACGAGACAGCAGATAGTGCCAAGGCTCTTCTGCGTAATATGCAGGTATAGTTAGCATTTGGTTCACATATAAATTACAGACAGGAATAGCAACATTTACATCAAATTTCAAAAGTGGTTTTACCTTTAAAATGTTGGCCATGTGTTGGGTTCCTCGCCATGTCAAACTGCACCCTGTAAAATCTATAGTTTTGATGCAAGCTGAATTCTTCACACTCTGACAAATCACTGGAAATAAAGAGAGATGTCACTACTTAAGTATAGAAGGTTGATATCTTGTACATTTTCAAGCTCCTTTTAATCACCAATACATTCTCACTTCATTGATCAGCAATGTTGTGCTGCCATGTGCTTGCAACAAGGATGGCAACTCTAGAGTGGCAACTGCTGTACTAAGCAGTCTACTTTCCCAAAGCTTTTGTATAAGAAAGAAAAAATCTAAGTACTTCCCTTATTTTCAGTGTCATTTGTGTATTCATACTTCCTATCACATAGTAAATTATGGAAAAACACTATTGTACAAGTGTTTTCGTTAATGTAGTTCCAAGTTATGTTTGTGTGTGTTTGCACGTCATGTAATACAAGCCAACAAGTCACCAGTTCCTCATGCAGTATGTCATTTTTCACTCCTCTGATTGAAGCTCTTGTCAGTCTCACTGCTGAACAACACTACCTAGTATCAGTGGTATATTTCCAGAGAATACAAATTTGAACATTTATGGCATGTTGAGACCTCCTTGCCTGGCCCACAACCTTGCATCCGTGCCCCTTCCACAGCAATGCAGTTAGCCTCAACAGAAACTTTCAGGGCAATAGAAAGGTTTCTTTTCAAGCCTAAGAGGTGAGAGGTAGCCTATGTGCATACAGACCTTTCCCCACAATGTGTGAATGGCTAAGGGTTTGGGTGGGCAGCAGGGCCACAACAGTGGAAAGGGGCAGCAAGGGCTACCCTGCACTCTCTCTCATGCAAAGGGAGAACACCTGAGAAAGGCTATACTCTTCTTTGTATTTCAGGTGCAGTTGCTCCTCTTTATAACTCAGTGCACCTGAAGCAGCTACCTAAGCTGTCATACAGAAAAATAGATAGATCATGGCCACCAAGGTAGCCACGGATTTCCAAGATACCATCAAATTAACTTATTCTATGAACTTCCGACAGAAGAAAGCCAAGATGTAATCAGAATGCCATTATTTTATTTCAAATGTGGGAAATGTTTTTAAAATACCAAAGAACATAAAACAAGGTTAAACAGGACATTTCAAATTAACATGTACTAACTACAGCAGTATTATGAATGTGTAAAACAAGATGTATTTTTACAAATGACACTGTCGCATATTAAGTCCAGTTTTCTTCAGAAAATTCAGAACTTACTTTCCAAACCTCCATCACCAATTGGTGAGTCTGCTAAAGACAGTCTCTCTAGAGATGATGTGTTAGCCAACCCCTTCAAAATAAAGAATATTAGTAATTTTAAAATGGGCACAGAAGTATTTCCATGAAAACATTTATTGCAATTGAGCAGTCTTACTTTTGTCAGTAATATTAAGTCTTTTTCCCTCAAAAGCAGTCCCTGTAGTTCCAAATTTACTAGAGCACTTGATCTCATCAGACAACTTTTAATAGCTTTACATAGTTGAGCAGTAAAGTCTTTGGATCGAATTGCTGGAATTCTCCTTCTTACAATATATGTTCCCTGCTTTTCAACACCTAGAAAACAAAAAAAGCTAATAAAATCATCAGAACAAACACCACTTAAGCGTTTACATAGGCCATTATTGATTGATTGATTGATTGATTGATTGATTGACTGATTGATTCTGCCTACCATCCCATTTTAGCTACATAAGCAGATGCAAATTCCTTTGTATTAATGACACCATGGCCAACTTAAACATAATGCAAGTCACATCCATAACTCTCCCTCTTCTACTGGAACCTGAAGAAACAAATACTAAGGAGTATGAATGGGGGGGGGATGGACCGTTAAATGGAAAAAAATGGAGAGAAAGCAGGGGGGACAACCCAAAATACACAATTCTTATAATCCCAATTTTTCTTTTTTTTAAAAAAGGTAACTGCAGGGATGAGAAACTTGCAGTATTTCTGACTCTAACTCTCATCATCCATGACCACTGACCATGCTGAATGGAGCTGATCAGAGTAGGATTTAGCACAAGAACACAACTTTATGAGAGAAAGAGCGGCCATATGGTTAACAATTTAACTGGTCACTACCTGAGTCTCTGTGTCCCTGATGATGAAAGCTTCTTATGGCAATAGAAGTCAAAGTTTTGTTGTGCCTGATAGCATCCAAGAGAGGTACCCAATCAGGAGGTTTGATGCGATCTGCATTTATATCAAGAACACCAAGAAGCCTTCTAGCTTTTACGGACTGTAGAGGGACACAGCCCTGAACTGAACAAAGGTGCTCATAATGAGAGTAAAAATCGAAGCTGCACTGTCTTCTTACTTTGACTGAGTCAATCATTTTTAGTCATGTATTGGGCGGCAACTGAAACTAAGAAGAGAAAACAAAAGATAATGTGAAGTTATTTCAACAGCTACAAACAATGTTTGGCGTATGCTTTCCTGAATTCACCAGAACTATGGCTCTGTCCAAAGACTTTTCCTTCAAGTGATGCTTTGAAGAAGGCACAGGACTTTTGTGTTCCCTTCCTGCAGAAGTGAACAACTTCACTAGGAGAGATACTGTGCTTATTTGAAGATGAACTCTTTTGTGGATGCAAGCTGGGATGAAGCTCACAGGATTAAGGAGGGTTCAATGTTCAAATAAATGCAGTCTCCTGGTTCACCTTCTCCCTGCACTGAGAAGAGCATGGGAAGGACCAGACAAGCCTGAGGTCTCTCTCTCTAGATAGTCCATGGGGAATATTGCCATGCCCTTTATTCCTGAACTACTGAATATTCAAACAGCTATACAGATAAGGACGAACATAAGAAGACCCTGGTGGATCAGGGCATAGACACCATGGCTAGTAGCCACGGGCGTGGGGGAGGGGGGCACCTGCCTCCCCAGTTAAATACAAATACGTGACGAACAGACCAATCCCGTCGGTTCTGCCCCCCTCCCGTAGGTTCTGGCTACGCCCCTGCTAGTAGCTATTGACAGCTTCCTAGTCCAATAAAATACAACTATCCCCATCCAGGTACTCCAGCTATCGGGGAGAAACCATCCTGAGGAAGAGCGCCATTGAACACCTTGACCCTCCCTGGTCCAGGCGCTGCTCTGAGCCTCGCGGCGTCTCCGGGAACAGCGCCTCGTAAAACCGTCGTGGAAACGATTCAGCCCAGAAGCTCGACTCGTTTCCCTGTTTTGCTTGGATGACTAGCACCGCCTCACCTGATGCCGGGTTCATATTCCCACCAGCTTTTCCTGCCGCCCTTCGCGGAGAGCGCGAGGCTGGCGAGAAGCCGCCACAGTGTTGGTTGGCGACGGGGCCGCCTCCCTGCCTCTTACCTCGCGTTCACACCGCCCCCTCTCTCAGCTCCGCGTCTCCCCGAAGGCACAAAACGGCCCTGCTCGCTCCCGGTAGCCGAGGGACCCGCGTTGTGTTTGCAGGAGTCGCCCTGGAAACCAGCCGCTCTCGCGGAAACTTCGCGGGCCGCCGACGGAGTACAGGGAGCCGCGAGGGTCATTTCCATCGGCGTCTGAAACTTGACCCTCGCGGCTCCCTGTACTTCGTCGGCGGCCCGCGAGACCCGTCTGGTTTCCATGGCAACAGCGGCCGCGGGGCTGGAAAGCGACGGCGAGCCGATAGGGACATCTGGATGTGGTCCGAGAAGCTGAAAGGAGTCGCGCACGCTCCGCTAGGCCGCCTTCTAATGTTTAAGACAAGACCCTCCCCGTCCCCGAAGTTATCTGCCTTTCCGAACAAAACACGAGAAAAATGTATTGGTGACACACTACTAATTTCAATGCCATACCTGGACAGTCAGTATTTATTTGAAGATTTGTAGGACACGACTAAACAACAACAACAAACAACACGTAAACTTAGCCCATATGATGTGACCCCCCCACTGTATATTTCTATCATGTTTTCATTGGGCTTGGGGGGGCACGTGGCATCAGAGAATTTGGATTTAAAGAATGAGAGTGTAGCAATAACACACAACATCCGCACACGAATTATGGGAGCAAGTGACAGAATCAAGGCAATTACACAGGGAATATTAATGCCTTAGATATTAGCACTTCTGACCCTATTCGGGCGTTCACTGTACTGTATTCGCCTGCGAGCAATCGCGAAATGGGGAAGGGCCTCGCTGTAAAGCCCCAGCGTCTGGCCTGGCGTTTTTATTCCGTGTATCGCCTGCTGCCACGAGTTTGATGGCCAAGTTCTGTAATGCGAGGAGCCTTCTTTACCCTTGGAGGCTCCCTGCAAAACCTAAAGCCCCGAATGTGCGGCGGGTGACCTCGGACCGCTCGCCTATAAGTAGCCTACCTTGCAGGGCTGTCGTGAGTATAAAACGAGGAGTGGGAGAAGCACGGACACGAACACCTAGCGCTCAGAGGAAAGATGGGATGTATCAGCCTAAACGCAAATGCACGTCATTTGCGAAGCCACAACGCCCCAGTTCTATTCTCTCTGTCCCTCTTTCGGTACCGTTTACGCAAATCATCTTGATCATCCCTGCACACGTGAATACTTCCCATCCATTGTACGCTTACACAGGATTTTCACTATGTATGTATGTCTGTATGTACAAAGCTTGGCAATGAAGAGTGTGTTTCTGGTTTCCCAGCAGCTCCTTTGGCCCTTCAGTTGTTTTGGGACTACAATTCCCATCATCCCTGTTAGCTAGGGATGATGGGAATTGCAGTCCCAAAAACTACTGGAGGGCCAAGTTTGGCCATGCCTGCTTTAGGGCCATGTTTCCCAAACTTGGGTCTTCAGCTGTTTTTAGACTACAACTCCCATCATCCCTAGCTAGCAGGACCAGTGGTCAGGGATGATGGGAATTGTAGTCCAAAAACAGCTATAGACCCAAGTTTGGGAAACACTGCTTTAGGGAATGCAGGGCGCTCCTCCCACAGCCCTCTTTGTAACACAGTATTACTGTTTCCGCACTCAGGCCTTGGATGCGCACCTCCCTCGAGTGTATATCTGAAGAGGGGGCTAATAAAAGTCCAGAGAATCAACTGCTCTGCTTCTCCTGCAAAATCCCTACTTATCCAACGCCTAGAAGAAGAAAACATCAGCCGCGCTCTAAGGAGGAACTGACTGGACTGGATCTGGGAGGAGCAGGAAGAGCGCAAGAACCGCGCAGAGCGAGGAGGAGGTTTCGCCCGCTCCTTCCTGCCTCCCTCCAGCGCCTGCCGGAGCCTCGCCCCTTCCCTAGCTTCCCCCCGCGCCGACACAGCAAGCCACCTGACCGGAAGCAGCTTCCCTATTGGCTGCCCCTCCAGCTGTGCTTGCTGCTGACGGCATGCCCCTTCTGCAAGGAACTTTGCAAATATACAGTACTGTATAGTCACGATTGCTCATAGTACTGGACACCGACGACGACGACAACAACTCTTTATTACGGCCGTAGACCAGCATAAACTGGACAACGAGATCCCACCATAGCTGTCAACTCTTTCCTTTTCTTGCGAGGAATCCTATTCGGAATAAGGGCATTTCCCTTAAAAAAAGGAAAACGTTGACAGCTATGGATCCCACCGGTCACCATAAAATGGGGTGGGGTCTTTACAGTCACTGACTTGATCGCGCTTGCAAGCAAGCTGTCTCTCACGAACAATGCACCAGCCCTCACGCCTCACGTCCTTGTTGAACTACCCCTCCGTCCGAGGCCCAATCTTAAACTACGGGCTCTTTTAGTAACTGGGAGCTGCCTTGCAAACGGGTGGTGGTGCAGGGGAAGAAATGTGGTGTGGGTTTGCTATTCGTGAAGAATGGCTTTTGTGGTTTATGTCTCAAAGGTAAAAGATCAGAAAAGGTGTGAATTTGGAAAGCAGCAGAGGAGTATTTTTTTAGAAGGGGATAACTTGTTTTTGGAGCAAACGTCTTGGGCTTTGCAGTGCTGAGTTCGAATGCAGGTAGTGCTAAAGAATTTGCTAATTAGACTGCAGTATTAACCGTACCTGGAAATAAGCCCCATTGTATTCAATAAGAATGCCCCATTGTGTTGAGTGGACATGGTTAAGAAAGAATGTGCTGCACCTCCATGGTGCCTGATGTGAGTTCTGTTCAAGAAACTTGGCTTGTGGAACTCTCACTGGCTCTCCATAGTCGGAAGAATAATAGACACCAGGAGCTTTACGGACAGTTTTGTGATACTTTTCCTTTTAAAGGTACGAAAGAGTGCCTGGCTCAATATGACTCTTGCAGGATCCTTTGCTTGGCTTGGCAGGGATAGTATTTAAGCCTTTTGCAGCTCAGTGTGGCTGGGGAAATTTCTGGGAGAGTGGCTGGAAGCTTTCCAATAATACAGGGTGAGTCTTAAAAGAGGCCCTGGTGGAACATGTGTACTCTGTATCCACAGGGCCTCTTTTAACAGATTCACCCTTATAAGAAGTTATTACTTCCCAGTAGCTATTTTATGGAGATGGGAATTTAGTGGTGTGGATATGGTCCCTACACGGAATTTGAGAAGATATCAGGCTTAAATGTTTGGATATTGGTAGGTCATGTGAGTTCAGTGGTTTTGAGAGTTTTTCTAAAAAGCTGGAGCAAAGTATTTTGGGAGCAGCTCATGCTATTCCTAGATGGAAGGAGGTGGGAAGAAACTGGAATATGACTGCATGGTGGACAGATGGATGCAGTAGGGTAATTTGGGAGCATAATGCAACTTCTGGGAAGGTTAGATGTACCTTGGTAGGGGAAAATTTATTGGAGAACAAATACTGTTAAGCTATAATTAAAAGGGTACTTAGGTGGGCTAAAAGAAATATGTGAAGGCAATGTTGTGGAAACATTTCAGTAGTTACACCAGTAGCATTGATATAAAAATGAATGCTATCTGGAGGAATATTCCAGCTTTGCTTATTGAGAATCATACGTGCCCTTCTTAACTCTCATCTCATTTGTAAGCTACTTATGCAGCCACACCAGTTTCCTTAGATGCCTCCTACTTTTCTTTCTTGTTGTAATTGTCTGTGTTTGGGGCTTCAATATTTCTCCTTTTAGAAACACTTATCCATCTTGGACTCCCTTCTCTGTATTTTTGACCATGGGATCTCATCCAGTAGCTTTTTCAGTTTTTCAAAATTGGCCTTCTTAAAGTCCAGAGTGCATGTCTGACTACACTCAACTTTTCCTTTCCTCTGTATCATGAAACCCAGAAAGAACTGATCACTTCCTGCCAAGTTTCCCAGTACTTCCACTTTGTTGATCAATTCCTCCCTATTAGTGAGGACAAGGTCTAGGATAGATGATCCCCTTTTTCTTCCACCTTCCGGGATATGAAATTGTCAGCAAGGCAGTGGAGAAATTTGTCATACCTTACATTCTTGGCAGAGTTTGAGTTCCAGCAGATATCAAGGAAATTGAAGTCTCCTATATCTCTACTTTTTTAGTGTTTGGTAATCGCTCTAGGAAGGCATCCTCCAAGTCTTTTGCCTGGCTTGGTGGTCTATAGCAGACCCCACAGTAAGGTCACTGTTGTTTCTCTCGTCTACAATTTTACCCATATACTCTCAGTCTGCTTTCCATGATCCAGATTTCTTCACAAATTTACACATCCTATACATATAATGCTGCTACTCCTCCCTTCCTGTTTAGTCTATTCCTTTTAAACAGGTCAAACCCCTCAATTCCTGCATTCCAGTCATGGGTCTCATCCCACCAGGTTTCAATAATGCCTACCAGGACATATTTGCCACTCTGAATTAAAAGTTCCAATTCATCTTGCTTGTTTCCCATATTCTGTGTGGATTTGTGTAGAGAAAACTGAAACCATGAGCTGTTCCCTCCAGCTGCTTCCTCCTAGTAGTTTCCTACGAGATGTCAGAAGCCAGTTAAAAAATGACATAAGCTAGTTACAAAAAACAATCCAGCTTTGCTTTTGTTTACAGCCTTTATGTTTTCTAAAAGTATGTGTAAAATAGTTTCCCTCAAAGTCCAGTGACCAACACAATAACAGTGCAATACTATACTTTTACTTGGAAGTATGTCCCACTGTGTTCAATGGTTCTTACTCCATGGGGGATAGCAGTCCCAAACCCAGCTTGGCAACAGCGGATTGTGACACAGTGGTGTAGCCACAGTCATATCCACAGCCCCATTGCTCCCACTGGCTGGGACAGCTAAAGACCTGATGCTGGCGTAACAATCAGGTCCACATCAGAGCCAATGCCATCATATGATGCCAGTGAGGCCAGCCCAAGATCCAGTCAATCCTAGACTGATTCAACCCCTCTATGACCCGAAAGTGGCTCATTTTGGATTTTTTTGCAGGAATTCCAATGGTGGTTCTTTTGCCTACCTGCACTTCAGGCAGAATGAAGACCACACCAGAAGAGTGACACCAGTGTCATGTTGTGGAGGCCAGCAGAGCTGGTGTGGGCCGGCTGGAGGAAGACGTCTGCTCCATCCATGCCCCATAACCCCCTATTGTGGGGTTAGCTTGCAGGGTACATGTGCCTAGAATTGCACTGGTTGATTCCTTGGAAAAGCTGAAGCTCATTACATTAGATGGTTTAAAAACAGTGAGCAAGAGAGAACAGAACTTGATAAAGTAGGGCTGATAATGTAGTAGAAAGAGTTGTGTAGAGGAATATTCTGAAATATTATCGTAAAGAGTTCATGTAAACTTTAACAGCAATGAATAAGAAATTGAAATTATGTATAAAATTATCCCCAGTTATTTACCTTGGTCAATAAAAGGACAAAAATGTCCTGTTTTCTTTCTTGAGAGATTACTACAGACTTGTAAAAAACTTGCTATTTTTTCCATTTCCATTTAAGCAGTGAAGATGATTTGGATCAACAATGGATAAAAAAGCACTCCCTCTTCCATATTGTTGTTCAATAAAATTCAGAAATAAGAGTGCATCTTGCGTAGGAGAAGATCAGATTCTGGATAATTGCAAACGTTAGATCTTGGTTGTTTTCAGGTAGGAAGGCATCTTGCTGTCAAGTTTCCTGTCAACTGAAGTGAACTGGAATTGTTCAGATATATTATAAATCTCAGCAGCATTGCTGTTGGCATGCAAATGATGAGAAAAGCTCTTTGTTTGCTTTTTATATCAACTGCTTTTATATAATACTTGTCATTGTTTGTGGAGGGGACAGATTGAAGGGTCAGAGTGAGAACACCTTATGATGGAAAAACAAAGAATGGCCAGAATGAAAATGTGTCAGACAATCAAAACAACTTTACTTAACTATTCCTATTAGTTTCTACAGAGCACAAAGAGGCACCATGCTTTTTGAATCAAATGGACAGCAATAGCTTTTTCCAAATTATTCACAAATGAACAACTCTAATTATACACATATCGTAATGAGTTTTTCCAACCCTAGCTGTTTGACTTCCCTGGTAACCGCTGCATTTTTAGAACACAAAAGCAGTGGATTTTCAATAATGATGCGGTATTTAACTATTTAGCCTGTCACAATACAAGAGTGGGGCATGGAAACAAGGTTGACAACTTTATACTGATTTTACCTTGTTTTTCTATTTATTGGTTTTTGTATATACTTAGAGAGTTTGTTGATTCAGCATTTTGTAAGCCATTCTAAATTAACAAAATCATTTTTTTTAAATTAAAAAACACAGGAAGGGGCAAAAAACAAACCCAATTGTGTTGCAGTGTCAAAATGCCATGGAATGCATCTATTTCGGGACTCTGATGGTAGCCTTTCCTTCAGACGAGGATAATGAGCTACTGACACATAATACATTGCTTCTCTGGAGTTAGACCATTAGCTTTGAGCTCAGTATTGTCTACACAGGCTGGTAATGCCCCTCTAATGTTTCAGGCAATGCCAGGGATTGACTCTGAGACATTCTGAATGCAAAGCATGTGCTTTACTGAGCTCCAGTCCTTTACCTGTTACAGGACTGTTGACAGCTATGTACCACCAAGATGGGAGTCTCTGGTGCTCTTGCACACAGTCCTCTGACGCGGGGCCTAGACTGTATACTTCAGATCAAGGGATGTCCCACCAGAGCCAAGAAGATGGCAGTCTAGCTAACAAGCAAGTAATGGAGGAAAGAAGGCATTCTGCCAAAAAAGTAGGACTCGAACCAATGGCTTGCCATGTTTAAGACTAAGTTTTTTAACCAAAAAAATAGGTTTAAAATTGGGGCTCGTCTTATACACGGGTAGTGCTGAGGGGGTGTTTTCTTAATTTGGAGTCCCCAAAAATGGGGGAAATCTTATACATGGGGGCGTCTTATACACGGAAAAATACAGTATTTTGTTGCTGTCCAGAAACACTCCCAATGAGCCATGTGGGGCAGATTTCAAACTGACTGTTTAGTAGAAATAAGACCTATAGGGGAGGAAGAATTCAGTATCCTACAAAAACAGCTGGTGGGTGTAACAATTCTTCCAGTGCCACAGGGCCTGATGCCCTTGGGGCGTTTTCCAGAAAGCTCCTTCTTTTGTGCTCTGCCTAGAAGCCCAACTCAATAGTCTGGTTTTCCTCTAGGCTCTTTCACAGCACCTTTCCTTTTTAAGTCTGCTTTCAAAGAGAAATTTGTTTGCTATTTCATCCAGTGTTCTTCCAAAAGCCAGCTGGCGCTGAATGCTAAATGGCAAAGGAACAAAGGCACAACTTCCAAAAGTATTTGGAAATGTTCTGGGAGCTGCTGAAGCTGTTCTTTATAGCTTTTTATCCGGAGGCCTGTTGGCTGTTGCTAGATGGTCATGTCCTTCATGAAAAAGATTCTCACAAAGCCTGCAGATCTTTATTTTTAACGCCTACCCAAACAATTATTTAAGTCCATTAGCAGTAGTATTTGGCTTAACCTACAATTCCTCAGCCACATAGTTGTAATATACTCTTTATCATTTATATAGTGTTGTAATTGGAATGTGGCAAGGAGATGTACATAAAAGGCATATGATAACACCCCAAATCATTGTAAACAACCAAAGCAGCCTATGATACTACAGTCCTCCTGCTTTTATAAAATAAAGACTGATAGCCAACTAAGTCACGTTCTGAGTAGACCCATTAAAATCAATGGACAAATTACTTGAGTCCATTGATTTCAAAAGGTCTATCTACTCTGAGTATGACTAGCATTTGATATCACCCCAACACCCCAAAATAGTTTGCCTTATTTTAACTACATTGCTAGTTAATCTCAGGCTTTGTAAACAGGTCAGTAGGAAAAGACGGGGGCTCTCAATCTCACCTCCTTTTCTCTCAAACACACTTTAAAGCAAACAACTCGTAAAACGAGATACAGATCTGCAAGTAGCAAAAGTAACTGTTCTCTCAGTTAAAACAAGCTAGCCAAAAGGTTTCACAATGCTTCAGTAAAGAAAACAAGGATGATGTAACAACCTTTTCTACCCAGCTAGGCCTTGTTATTTGCAAATTAACAGATAGGTATTTAACAGATGGGTATTTAATTAATATGGAGATACATTTAGTATTTTTCAGCACCTGGATATATTCATTTTTTATTTTTGAAATTTATATATAATATTTCTGCTTGATAGGGGCTCCCTGTGTAGTTCATGGTTTAAACTAAATATAGTATTAAAAGCCAGGTTCAACAATAAAATCTGTTAAAGATAGGGATTGCTTGCTATAGTTAAGGGATTAGAGTTTTAGAACAGTTTTCTTCAAAATCATTTTTGGAACAGGAAACATGTTTCCATTTATTAGCCAATCTACTCACTTCTTGTATTCATCCGTTAGATTTATACATTTCAGGACTCTGTAGTGAATTATTTCACTTGTGATTGGTATATTTACATATTCTTGCATAGTCTTGCATAATAGGCTCTAGAACAAATTACACATGTAATAACAAGAAAATTAAAAATAAGAAGATTTAAGCTTTCTGGCAAATGGGCTCAAAACGGTTATACATTTAGGCTCTTGTTTAGTTGAGAAAACTGAACAGCTGAGCAATTGTGAATAGAACAATACACAGCTGAATGAGAAGGGGTAAGGGCATAGGAAAATCACCATGAGAAAGCATTATTTTGCAGCAAAAGAAAAGCATTGTTTTTATATTATTGTTTCCAACAGTTTAATTAATTATTTTGGTGTGTTTTTTTTCAAGACTACACATGGAAGCACCCCCTCCTCCCCACTGATCAACCCAAATGAAAGATTGTGGAAGGGCCATATGTTCTACATGCTAAGGTAAACACTCCAAACATCTCCCCCTGCAAAGAAGCAATAACTATGCTCTGGACTGACCCAGTCAACCCCCTCCAGCAAGTTTTTATCAGCCTTGATGAGCAGGCATCCAGAGGGCATATGGTTGGGCAATAACCTCCAAGCAACCACAGTTCAGCATGAAGGCAAGTGATTATGTCCTCAAGATTCTGAGGGTTCCGACACTTCTGGCCAAATATCAATAGCTTCAGTAGAGGGTGCAGAGGTGACAAAGCCTTCTTTGCTGCTGTCAGTGCTACAAGATAGGCATGATTACTGTAAGTGCTGGCAGCCATGTTTGGTCATCACTATGAGACTTCCACTATTTGTGCTGCCGTTGCTGTTGTACCAGCTTCATAGTCTAAAGTTGCCAGAGAACTCAACATGCCATGTTGGACTCAGCATTGGAGAAGGTCTCTTCTTGGTGATTCCATAGCAGGGGCGCCATATAGAGGAGTCAATGGTCCCCTAAAATTTTCAAGGAGGGGATCCGGACCCCCTCAATATTCCACAATCTGTGGTGGGCCTCCCTGGGCGTCCCCGCGGCTGTGGTGGGCCCCAGGGGGCCTACCCACGGTGGGCCTCCCAGCCTCCGCCTGATGCGTGATGTCGCACGTGCGCTGGGCTCCCCCACAGTTGGGTGGAACCTAGCGCCTGCGTTCCATAGTGACATCAGGTTCTCAGCAGAAGCACTGACCATGACAAACATTCCCCCCGAGCATGCAGGAATCCTTCCTTTTCCATTAGTCCCTTGGGGTAGACCATCCTGACGTAGGCAGGCCTGTACCTCTGCAGGTAGAATCTGCTGTTGTCATTCTAACCAGTAAACAACCAAATCAAAGGCATCTCTGGCTAGATGTATTGGGCCTATAATGTGTTTGGACAGCTCCATTAAATCCTAAGCAAGCCTATTTGCAGTAGCAACCTGGCATCCCCCTCAGCAGTTATGGATGGTCCATACAATTTGTTTATATGTTTAGTATAATATGTATATTTTGATACTAAGGAGGCTTCATAAAGTGTTTTTTGTCTTATGTCTTAATGCCTTTGAAGAAGAGAAGATGCCAAAATGCACCAGGGTGACTATTTTGTGAAATAAAATTTGTTTTAAGCATAATTTAAAGGGTTCGGTTTCTCTTCTTTTTGACTTCCAGGTTCTCTAATGAACACATGTTAATTGTATGAGATGTGTTCCACATGACTTCTAGGGAATAGAGTTGTATGTAACATGGCAGGTTTAAAAACAAAAGCAAATAATTATTACCATAAGGATAGAACACTATCTCCAATATTTTTATTGGCCCCTTGCCTGCTCTGGGAGTAATTAATCTCTTGTCAGGACTCGAGCTTGCAGTGATTCCACATTTTTAATAATATACGGTATTTATTTACATATTTAGATACTATTTTTCAATATGAGTCTTTATAATACAATTTACAATATCTTAATATGTACAGATATGATTTAAAATAATAGTTATTATTAAACAATTTAATAAAAGCTATATATATAATTGCATCTTTATTTGAAGTAACGCACATCACCATATAGGGAGGGCGCTCACCGCAGAACCATTGGGTGGCATGAAATGTTATTCCTACTCAAAGTAGTCTACTCTGAGGGTATCTAGTGTTGGATTTCACCTGTTCAATTAAATCTAAAATTATCTAACTGCAGCAATGCGCATTTTAAAGATGTGTGTCTTCTGTCATTTTATCATCTGCTTCCCGAAGTGTCTTTTCAGAAGACCACTGGGTAAAACAGACAGGATGCCACTGCTTATCTGAGGAAGCAGCAAAACAGAAAAATACTGGGCTGAAAAGCAGCACCTCCACCAGCAGATGGTGCCATATTGTTACGTCAGTGCTGAGCTATTGATAACTGTTTTCTGGTCTGGGGCAGGGAGAGGCAGAGGAAATGAACAAGCTGCTACATCAACTCTGTTTGTTGCTGTATTATTATTATTATTATTATTATTATTATTATTATTATTAATGTGTATACCACCCTTCATCCGAAGATCACAGGGCAGTTCACAAAATAAAAATGCAAAATGAGATAAACTAGGAGATAAAAGAACCCTGCACATGCTTCATCAGGCACATGGCTGCCTGGCTCCCGGTCTTTATATTGCCTGATGGGATGCAACTATATTGAATTCAGCTCCTGATGCAGCCTGACTGTTGCCAGCATCCCTGGCTGCCACTTCCACACTGAAAACCAGGCTCTCAAGACATACTACAAAGCACACACAGCCAGTTAGAAGGGAGCGGGTGGTGCTGTGGTCTAAACCAGTGTTTTCCAACCTTGTTTCCTTCCTGTGCACCCCTCCCCATCCTACCAGTAGAAAGGTAGCTACTTAAATGTTTTGTTTGTAAATAGAACATGTTTTATTTATAATTTTTATGATTTATACAAATTACCATTAAATAAGATAATGGGAACATAATGAAACATTGTTGAAGCAGAAAAATATTATTATTATTAATCTGTAAAACCCCCCCAATGTGACTCAAGTTGCCCCACCACTCTGGGTGGCTTCCAGCATATATAAAAACATAGAAAAACCTTAAAACGCTTCCCTATACAGGACTGCCTTCAGAGGTTTCCTAAATGTTATATAATTACTCATCGTCTTGACATCTGATTGGGAGGGCATTCCACAGGGTGGGTGCCACTACCAAGAAGGCCCTTTGCCTGGTTCCCTCTAGCTTCACTTCTCACCAGTGTGGGAACCACTAGAACGCCTTCGGAGCTAGATCTCAGGTTCTGGGCTCCCAGTCTTTATATTGGCCAATGGGGATGCAGATGCTCCTTTAGGTATACAGGACCAAGGCTGTTTAGGCCTTTAAAGGTCAGCAGCAACACTTTGATTTGTGCTTGGAAATGTACTGGGAGCCAATGTAGGTATTTCAGGACCAGTGTTATGTAGTCTCGGCGGCTGCTCCCAGTCACCAGTCTAGCTGCCGCATTCTGGATTACAGTGGTGCCCCGCAAGACGAATGCCTCGCAAGACGGAAAACTCGCTAGACGAAAGAGTTTTCCGTTTTGGAGGTGCCTCGCAAAACGAATCTGCTATGGGCTTGCTTCGCAAGACAAAAATGTCTTGCGAGTTCCTGGGTTTTTTTTTTCCTTTCCCCCTCTTTTCTAAGTCGCTAAGCCGCTTATCTGCTTATCTGATAAGCTGATAAGCTGCTAAAAGCCGCTAAAAGCCGCTAAAAGCCGCTAATAGCGCTAATAGCGCTAATCCGCTAATCCCATCAATGGGCTTGCTTCGCAAGACGAAAAAACCGCTAGACGAAGAGACTCCCAGAACGGAGTCTTTTCGTCTTGCGAGGCACCACTGTAGTTGTAGTTTCTGAGTCACCTTCAAAGGCAGCCCCACATGGAACGCATTGCAGTAGTCCAAGCGGGAGATAATCAGAGCATGTACCACTCTGGCGAGACAGTCTGCGAGCAGGTAGGGTTTCAGGTGGCGTACGAGATGGAGCTGGTAGACAACTGCCCTGGACACAGACTTAACCCATGACTCCCAGGCTGCACACCTGGTCCTTCAGGGGCAGTTACCCCATTCACGACCCCACACCTTCCCACCCCCTGTCCCCCAAAAACAATACTTCTGTGTTTTCAGGATTCAACTTCAATCATAGAACCATAGATCTGGAAGGGACCCCAAGGGCATAGCCACGAGGGGACAGGGGAGGCAGCTGCCCCCTAGATCAAGTAAAACAATAAAAATACTTAACTAACTAAAACATACATCATTGTAATTGCAAATCTCACTTACCAGTTTTCAGCTTTATGCCGGTTTGGCAAACACACTGACACTTGTCAATTAAAGAATCAAGGTGTTAAATATTATATGCCTCATTGTTTCTAAACCATGGTCTATCCTGAACATGAACTTCCTGAACTGTGTTAGTGCTTCACATTCATAACATCCTACAGTTTTCCTTTCGTGATTGTTCAGCTTTTAAAATAATAATAATAATAATAATAATAATAATAATAATAATAATGGGCCAAGTTCCATCAGTCTCTAATAATAAGCATTAGTGAGGCCACTTTTGCTCCGGCTAATTCAACACCATGGACTGATTAAAGGCAAATCTTAGTGAACTTTCTTCAGAAGTCACTGAAGTGAAAGTGAGGACACAGTTAATCCACTTGGATTTATTGATTTATTTAAAAACACATGAGCATGGGGGACTTCCGGCCTGGAAGCCAAATGTAGTCCTTAGGCCTCTCCTCAGATCAAATCTCTCGTCAGCCTTGCTCTATGCCCTCCCTGAAGACTTTTGCCCGCCTGAAATGTTTCCTTAAACTACAATCATGTGGGATATTAGCATCCAAAATGCATATGTAAAGGGTTAATGTTTGAAAGGGCTGTAGAAACCTGTGATGTCATACACTCTGTGGAAGTTATTTCAGTTGGTTCAGTTATTAACAGTCTTGTGAGTCTTAGCAGCAGCAGGTATGTTATGTTGTGCTGCTGTCTGCCTCAGTCAGAGTATCAGTTAGTCTGTAAATGTTAGTTAGTCTGTAACAGCTTAATCTACTTCAGCCTCCCAACTTCCACCCTTCACCTTGCCCACTTTCGAAACCTCCTATCCACAGACACAAGCATACGCCAGCCAATATTCACAAAGAAGACACATTCACTCACCTTTTGCTCTTTGTTCATTCATGGAAGTGCCCTGGCTTCGACCCACAAATATCCGCAGGCTTCTGTCGATCAGCTTCCGAAAGTGAATTTCAACCAGTTCACATCAACAAACATCATCGCCCTGTTTCAGCCTCACAACATCCAAATGAGAACTGTATTAGCTTCCACCCACCAACATCTGCCAGCTTCTGCTAGGTCCACCACTGGACATTCGCCACTAGCTTGGACCATGGATATCAGCTGCTTTCAAGGCACAATTCCACACTGCAAGTGAACTTGCCTTATTATTGCTCCATAGCATCCTACAGCCAGATGATCATCTCCGTCCATCTGCCTGTTCACCTCCTCCAGGTGGAAGAAGACTGAATATCACAGCTGTTGCTTGCTGTGTTCTGTTGGGGAAGAGGAAAAGGCCCACCTTTACATCCACTCAGCTGCCATGTACTTTTGTGACGTCACAGGTAGTCTGTAGCCAATGGCAACAGCATCATTATCATCCTCATTTCCCCAGGCCTCACAATTGTGGGTACACCTCAGCAGTGACTTACTTGTGTGCTTGTTTATTGTTAAAAATATTTGGAGACCAACCTTCATCTGTACTGATATTAGGGAGGGGCATATTATAAAACTGTTGCTGGGGACCTTTTTCAGCACAAGGGGCACATTTCCATGTAGGGAACCCCCCCCCACTCTCCGGGGCTCCATGCCAGTGACTGGTGGGGGTCAGAGGCAGGTGGGAGTTGAGCAGCCAGGTGACACTACCTTGGTAGCGTAGGCTCCATTCCAGCTATGCAAATTGAGAGACTTCTATAGTCCCCTTGCCCATCTTTCAATTCACTAAATAAGAAGTATAATAAAAGTACAAGGAAATAAGGGGGTGCAGCTGGTGAGGGGAATGACCTAAAGCAGAATCCAGTGGTCTGCTCTTGATTTGTGGACTAGAGGTTCCCCACCCCATAATAAAACCCAAGGGTTAGATCCAACATGAGTTGTATTCAGAGTAGACCTACTGAATCAAAAGACTTAGTAAATCTATTGATTTTAATGGGTCTCATTTCAATGAAGTATTTGGATATCGCTCCAATTATTAAAAACAAAGCTCCACTCCACACACACAGAGAGACACACACGAACATGTACATATATTTTTCTTCATTTTTTTTAAGTTTTGCACCTTCTCTGTAATGATATCCCAATCAAAATTTCTTTTCTTTATCCTTCCTAGAAGAGAAAGGTGAAAATATTCGTTTTCTCAGACTAAGACAATTAAGACTATAAAAACTTATAAAATGTGTCTAAGCTTTCATATCAATTGTCCCATTTGCTTATGAATTGTTATATATGCTGAAATTAATCATGTCTCCAATATTTATTTTATTTGTTTAGACAATATTTTACACTGTATATTTATCTGATTTTCATTATTGTATTGTTAACATCTTAATACAAATTATAATTTAAAGCAACAGAGCCAACCTAATTAAAATCTATGTAAGATGTTTTAGCAACTAAAAGAAACATCCCCTTCATTGTACAGTGGTACCTCGGGTTAAGTACTTAATTTGTTCCGGAGGTCCGTTCTTAACCTGAAACTGTTCTTAACCTGAAGCACCACTTTAGCTAATAGGGCCTCCTGCTGCCGCTGTGCCGCTGGAGCACAATTTCTGTTCTCATCCTGAAGCAAAGTTCTTAACCTGAAGCACTATTTCTGGGTTAGCAGAGTCTGTAACCTGAAGCGTATGTAACCTTAAGCGTATGTAATCTGAGGTACTACTGTATATATAAAATCTGCAACTGCAAGTACACAATGTAAATGTTATATGCTCTTTAAATGGGTGTCTTGCATAGTTTTTATAGGAGGGAAAAGAGAACTAAAGGGTCAAACCACCCGGGGCTGTCTTCTGCATACTCTGCAAATGGGAACTAAAGCAAGTCTCTTGCCTGCCTGGAATGAGAGGTGTGTGTGTGTGTCTAGAAACCTCTGACTTTACTGTGGCTGCAGTATAGGTTAATGTACATCAATTTTGCCACTTTGCAAAAAGTGAGGGTTTCTGCCCTCATTTTAGCAAGGGATTTCCATGGATCCTCTGCCAAAATGATGATGAATAACCTTTCATTTCC